AATTCACTAAATGGTTGCTATTGCCACCAATATGTAGCATCGAATTATGTTGAATTTCGCAGTTCTCAACGTCACAATTTATGCCCGAGTTGCAAAACCAAGCTATGTGACCTTTTCTCAAACACCGATAACAGAGACCACATCTTTCCAATTCTAGTCGCCATTCCATGACATTCATACCCGATAACTTTGTACAATCTGTCACCTCGTGATCATCTTGGCAAAGCTCATATTTTGCACAATTAACTGAGTTGCTTATATTATGCTTAAATACATTCAGGCTTATATGCTATCAACTTTGACTTCTAAGCCTCTTTAACCAGACTCAGAGTTAAGTTGTGCCTATCTACCATATGTTCTTGAGCAACCCTGGCCATTTCTTCTACGGAGCTAATCAATTCTTAAATGTTTTGCCAAAGAACCTTTGATGATGGCCTATTTAGACAACTTTTCTTATCCAAACTTCCTCAACAGGTGCAAACTGTGCTTGTCTTGTTTCACAAAAACGCCTTAGACGAGCTGGCTGCATCTGCCCACCGCATTTTAGAAATCATAAAATCCAACGCCGAGGATTTTTCAGTTGAAGAAAAGCCTCAAGCGACTCAGAATGATACAACAAAGTTATGTCATACACTCACGCGATATCTTAAACTGCGTAACGACCATAAGCGATCTGTCTCTAGACCACAAGAGACGGATAATCCCGACTGGTGCTGGTATCATAACCAGTATGGAAAGTCTTCCAGAAATTGAAGAAAACCCTGGAACTTTCCCAACTCAAAACTGAACAACACGAAAAACAACTCGGGAAACTTCCAGGCCGGCACGCGTTAATGGCAACCGTAGCCGACGAACATAGCCGTCTGTTATTCGTCACAGATGTGACAACGAGAGTTCTCTACCTCGTCGACACTGGCGCAGAAGTTAGCGTTCTCCCAGCCAATCCCAACGACCGGCTTCACGAATCGGCTTTAAACTTAAGGACGGCAAACGGAAAACCTATCGCTACGTATGGCAAAAGGTATGTTTATCTTAACGTCGGTTTACGCAGACCCATTCAGTGGATTTTCGTTGTTGCAGATGTTTCTATGCCAATTATTGGTATGGACCTTCTGCAACAACATAATCTAATCATCGATACGTGAAAACGGAGGCTAGTAGACGGAAACACTAAATTATCCGTTTGCGTGACTTCTTTTTCTGGTGGCAGATTATCCCCGATTACTATTAAACATACGATAGATCCACTTTATCAACCACTACTCGATAAGTATCCTGGAATACAACAAACGCAAGCGTAACTACCGTGTGTAACCAGCAACGTTACACATCACATCACGACTAGATGACCACCTGTATTCTCTTAAGCACGACGATTAGCCCCCGAAAAGCTAAGGTTGGCCAAAAAGGAATTTGACCACATGGTAGACTGAGGAATCATACGACCGTCAAACAGCCCATGTGCATCTTTGTTGCACATAGTCTCTAGAAAGGACAGCAACGATTGGCGTCCAACTGGTGATTATCGGCGACTGAATGCAAAATCCATTCTTAACCGTTAGCCGTTGCCTAACATTTACGGTTTAACAGCTACCTAGAAAGGTACAACCGTCTTTTCAAAAATCGGCTTGGTTAAAGCATATAACCAAATTCCCATGGCCACTGAAGAAATTCCGAAAACAGCTATCAAAACTCCGTTTGAACTCTACGAATTTTCGCTAATGCCCTTCGGTTTAAGAAACGCTGCACAAACCTACCAAAGGTTCATAGACGTTTTTTGAGGTCTCAACTTCGTACATGCGTATGCTGACGACTACCTTATCGCACGTCCGGACAGAGAATCGCATCTCAAGCATCTGGATCTTGTTTTCGATCAACTATAATAAATGGCATTACTGTAAACGTTCAGAAATGCTAAATTGGAACTGACTCATTAGACTTCCTATGACACACTAATGATGCGCACGGCATTCGACCTCTTGGAACCAAAGTGACGGCCATTCTGGATCACCCAGAATCGACCACGATCAAGCAATTACGAACGTTTAACGGCCTCGTAAGTCTCTATAGACGATTCATACCTAAATGCGCGTTACTTATGAAACTTCTTACCGACCAACTTCTTGGAACTGCGAAATCCATCAAACTGGACGACACCACACGAAAAGCATTCTCCACAGTTAAGGAACTGATCGCTAAAGCAACAATGCTTGCTTATTATGACACTGAAGCACCCATTAGTATCGCAGTAGACACATCGGACTCAGCAATCGGAGGAGTCTTACGACAATGGGTTAACAACTCCAGGCAACCCTTGGCATTTTTCTCTAGACGGTTGCTAGACACCGAATCGAGGTACAGCACATTCGGTAGGGCACTCCTATATATGTATTGTGCTGTACGGCATTTTCAACACTACGACGAAGGCCGTGAATTCACCCTTTTCACTGACCATAAACCTCTTACTTTCTCGTTAAGCTCCTCTTCAGACAAGTACTCACATCGTGAGTATCGACAACTGGACTACATTTCGCAGTTTACTTCAGGCATCCAACACATTTCTGGAGCAAACAATGTAGTTGCAGACGCCTTATCTCGCATAACTTCCTTGGACAGTTTCCAAGAAATCGACCTTCTTAAACGCGCACAGCTTCAAAAAGAAGACACTGATCTTCAGCACGAGTTATCGTCGACAACACTAAAGCTAAGAATCAAACAGATGGAACAAGTAAGGTAACCTTACTGTGTGACACATCTACAGGTTGGGATCACCCAATCTTGCCGAAACGTTATCGACGCAATGTATTCAATACATTGCACAAACGTTCTCATCCAGGTGTTCGTGCAACCATCAAGCTCATAGCAGAACGATTTTGCCGGCCTGATATAAATGAAGACGTGAGGGATCGAGAACGCCTTTACTTTATTTACCTTTTTTCGCCAATTTTGTGTCTTAAAGCCCGTACGAGTTTATTTCCAAATGCATTCACATTTTCTTTTTTTCTTTTCCAGGACGGCTGGAAAAGACGATAAAAAGAACGATAAAGTTTATGAGTAACCAAAAATTTTTATTGTACATTATTTTTTTACTATATTGTATTTCATGGTCCCTAATAGTAAGGAAAGACGACCAGACGCTGCTTAACCTAGCAAACTATCAGAAGAGTGTTTACCAACGACAAAACTCGTTGGGTTTAAACTTCTGGCTGGCCACGTCTTAGGGTCATCACCACCCCACTAGGGGCGGAGTGATCTGTGGCGGTAAATAAATCCCCGAAATAAATAGCTCTGTAAGTTTTCGACATTGGATGCTGATCACATGTTTTAATGGACTCACCTAGCTGAAGGCGCTCGGTCATGCATCCGCACCAGATCACGAGTGGGAACTCCGTGCTCAACATCTATTGCAATCGCTATCCAGATTAGATCAGAAGATCCTCGACATATTGATAACTTATCGAATATATCTTCAAACCTCCTCGCTTCTGTCTTTTGATTTCACTTGGTGGGTACGCTTCATATAGAAGGTGTTACTGGCAAAAGCGTTTTCAAACTCCTAATACCTGTGGCATCTTCATGGTAATTCCGTAATTATTTAACAGGCAACAAGATGCTCCCTTTTAAAAAGATCTTAAGAAAATTGTTTTGCCCTATCATAATCCAAATCACTGGGTAAAAATAAGCCAGATCGCCATCCTGATTTTTCCTTCCAACTAGTACAGCAGATATAACATTTAACTCTTATCGGACAACTTATTTCCGATAATGTCAGTAAACTGACCAAAAAGCAGAGATATTGATCAGGCTGTACATCAAAATATACATTATCAGTTCTCGGCAGACCAACATTATTTATAATATTGTGCAACACCTCCTTGAACTCATCGACCAGTTATTGAAGCACGGTCGATTGATCCACTCGTAACTTATGACCTCAAATAACAAGAGAATCAAATTCCATTTCAGGTAAGATAGTTTATTCGTAAATTATATGTGGTCAGCTTAAACACAACGTCGTTCAAGTTTTGGTTTGCCAGTGCAAAACTTCCAAAATACGAAATCGAACAGAGTGAAACCATAATGTCCGAGGTCAAAGATATGAACGAACAAGTTTAAAAGTTGGGCAAAACATATACACTCAAAACAACAAACTTATTAATATTTAGTACTGCAGTTCTTAATTGATTAAATATTTTCAGTTCTCCTGTAACACCCTTGCTTTTTAATTCGGCAAGCCAAAACTCTTCTCGATTCCTAACATGTGAGGCTTTCTATGTGATTCGCGCCTCGTTTCCATTTGTCTCTTTTTAAGTATTGCATTACATAACTTCACCCCAGCAACACTAAGTCGATCAGAACCCATACGAGTAATTTCAAGGTATGAGTGGCACGGCACACCCACTAACAAACCGTGCAAATGCATGACTGAGCGCCTTTAGTTATGGTGTGTTCGGTGGAACTCAATATTTATGGTCGGACGACATTAAATCATAGGCACATGATGGGCAGGGTAATCATTGAACACACATGAGCTCACATAAGACAGACATTGCTAATAAGCGAATACTTAAGAAATTCAAAACGTGACTCAGGTAGAAAAAGCTGATTTGTCTTTCCGGTGGGCAGAATAATCCATGTGGGCTTGATATGGTGCGCCGCGAGGCCTCCCCGTGGAAAATAGCACACCTGTTTAAAAAATGCTTGTTTCTAAAACTGACGCTAAAGAAGGTTGTTGTTAACGTCAATAAAAAGTAGCAAAGAATACTCGTACTATTTCTGACAGAGTACGATTTCACGTGAGCGGTGAGTGCATAATATGGAAGTGTAATATTCATGCGAAGAAATAACGTGAATATCACAAAGAAGTGGAGAAAATGGAAATGCTAGCATGCGATTATGAGCAAATTAATATGCATACATAACTGTTAAATTGAATAGTGGCAGAAGAATCACTCAAATTTGTTCTCTACCTCAAGGTTACTGACGGAGCTAGCTATGAGATGAATTGGTGGAATTCATTGGAGAAAGCAGGCAACATTTCAAAATTTGCGATCACAGCCTTGAAAAGTGCCCAACAAAAAATAGATGAAGTCCTCGATATCACGGATGAAGCTAATAATCAAAACGCACTGCCTACGCTATTCGAATATTCAACTAGACAAGTTGACGCAACGGAAACAGTAGTATCTTTTAAACTAAATGAATCAAGTCGTTGTGAACCGAAACCGAGTGGGTTATTTTTTGATGTTGCGATACTTAGTTCTTGAAAGGTCTGATCTGTTGTTTTTATTTTCAGATTTCAGATTTGTGTAGTAAGGACAGAAGGCCTACGGCCTGTGTTATTCCTTTTCTAGTATGCTTCTGTGAGTGTCCAGTCTTCTCTTGAAAGAGTCAATTGAAGGTGCGGACACCACTGCTTCAGGCAGCAGGTTCCAAGTATTGATGACTCGGTGTGAAAACCTGTATGCCACGGGTATTTTGTTCGTTCTTGGCTTTTCTACTCGCCTGCTATGTCCTCTGAGGTGTCCCGATCTAGTGGGAAGAAAGAGAGAGAATAAGTTAGGTCCGAAATCATTTCTCAGTACTCTGTACATCAATATTAGATCTCCCCTTAGTCTGCGATAGGACAGAGTAAAGAGGTTCAGTTTCTCAAGCCGCTCTTTATATGATAAACCCCGGAGTTCCGGAATTGCACGCGTAGCTGCCCTCTGTACCTTTTCTAGTATGTCCTTATTGTTCGTACCATTTGTACAGAGCAAGTTAGAGATGAACATTAATGAAATGTGACGAAAAAATGCGCCGTACATCTTCAACTGTTTGTATTCGATAGTTTATGGACCTCTATTCTGTGTAGGGTCGTTCACGAGCGTATTTCTCGGTGTAATCTGATTACGACTGTGCTGTGATCCAAAGGAATATATTTTTCTGGACATCTTACTTTAAGTATGAAATCTTCAAACCGAAATGTTGAGTGACCCTGTTGTTCTTACCGCCATTATGTCGTTTAGACTATGTAAGTTAGGGTAGCCTAACTTAACTAACGTACCCTAACGTGATACCTATCACTTAATGTTATAATATTATGTGGAGCTTATGTGAAATCCTCGGTTTTAATACAAACTTGTGTTGTTATTTGGAATACTGGATTAAATTTTAATAGTAACCTTTAAAAATGTACAGGTCTGTTTAATAATCTCAATATAGGCATCATGTAGTCTTAGCTTATGGATTTTTAGACGAGACTTTAATTTATGGACGACCTTTGAACGAATATTAAGTGACCTTGAGGAAATATTAGCCAACCAGCAAACAGTAAGTATGTAGTAAAAATATATTATACAAAACCAAGGAAATAAAGTGGATACAATTCTAATACGTGGTTCAAAAACTTGTCAAGGTTAGAAAGAGGTTCAGAGGTTCTAAAATCGTAATGCATGCAGTAGAGGAAATCATCCATACGGCTACAGAATAGTCGGCCTCTGGAGCCATGATAAAGTCTCAAGAACTCTTTCAGACTCAACCACATAGCTTCAGTATTGTTTATGTGCACTCCGGTTGTTGACTACACAAAATGCCGCTTGTGGATGACGATACGATACACATAACCAAGCCTATATGGGAGTCTATACGCTCTCCAAACATCCGTATATATTGTAGCACCGGGCTGCAGCCAGTGTTACTGGTGCCTTTACTATCCAGTTCGCGATAATTTTCATAATTTGCCTTATTTGAGAATTATATATAGGGTTTCCATCACGAACTGACAGCTATAATGCCAGAAATCTGTTTAGCCAAATGGATGAAAGGCTTTCGCGTCAAAATGGTAGATCTGTTAACTTATATCTGATTGATTCGTCCACAAGTTATAGTCTCGCCGTTTTATTTGTTATAGACGCTCAATTATCACGTTTTGTACAAAATTCCCTGTAAACCGATCGTACGTTAGCTTTCGGCACTGAAGTTGGCACCGTAACATTGAAATCTCTAAAACGCTTCTGAATAGCTCGTCCATAAATTAGAGTCTCGCCGATTTTTATAAAATTACATATGGTCTTGATAATATGTAAATTTCTTTACTTTGACAAGTGTACATCGCGTTAGGATTACCCTGCACCTGGTTAATTACTCAAGTCCTATGAAACTTAGGGGTAACTTATCAGCCATCCGTTTTTCGGTCATGGTTGATCAGATCAAGATGGGTACTGTGTAATTCACTTACGAGGTACGGACTAACCACGTCAATTGTGAACCTTATTATAAAGGTTAGTGGTACTTATCGACTGTCTCAATGAAATGTCTAGATCAAACGGTTTTAACATTATTAGGGAGTATGTAATGAACACTTCAACAAATACTTCTGGATAGATAGGTTAGTCAGTGGCTTATTCTTCGGGCAGATAAAAGCAACGAACAAAGTTTCAGTCTCAGTTTGGAAAGGACAGGAGGCTTGATGGCCTGTGTTAGTCCTGGCAATGGTGGCCTCTCAGTTGATCCAACTTTCTTTTGAAAGAGTCGACGGATGGAGCCTCAACCACGTGTTGAGGTAATGAACCCCACTCGTTGATGATTCGATGGGAAAGTCGATAGTCAGCTGACAAGCAATTTGTTCTGGGCTTGTGAACTTTTTTGGAGTGTCCTCGTAACTTCTCTGTTTTGGAAGACAAGAAAAATTAGGGCATATCAGGTGCAAATTTACCACTAAGCAATTTGAAAACTGTAATTAAGTCGCCTTTAGTTCTACGATATGACAACGGGAATGGGTTTAGCTTGGCCAGTCGAGCATCATACGGAAGCTTCGCCATTCCGGGAATCAGTTTAGTTACTGTTCTCTGGACCTTTTCCAAAAGCTCACTGTCTATTTTTAAGCAGGGGCTAGCTGCTTGTATGCAGTACTCGAGTTTGGGACGTACGAACACTGTATAAAAAGTCAAAAACATTTTAGCGTCGACATGACTAAAAGCCCTACGTATTGACCATAAGGTTTTAAAACCTTTGGCGGCTATTGCACGGCAGTGTGCAGTAGTCTTTAAGTCTTGGCTAACGATGACTAAAAATGAATAAATAGCACCCGACAAAATTTCGATTGCTTTTTACCCACTGATAACTTGGATAGGATACTGATATCAAGCTTTAGGATCTAGGTCCTAAGACTAGAGTTTAATCAGCCTGGATGGGATAATTTGTTTCGATACAATAAATTTAGTGACGTTTGAAAGTAATTGTTCGGGTTTCTCAGGTAAACCAACTCGGGTTAGTTAAAGTATGGGATTTGGACAATTTCTTTTGACAGTTTTTGATTGGTAATCGTTTTAATTTTTAATTGAGCTTATAGTCTTCCATAGATCATCAGTTTAAAAATTGAACTAAGGTAGTTTCCAAAATTTTTGGATCCAATGTGATTACGACTATAAAGCTCGAAAGCAGACAGGTTTTAACCCTTATCTGGAACATCCCTAAACTCAGTAGAACTTGCTAACTTTCTGTACAATTCATTTCCTTTAATTTACAGGTAGACTTTATCTCCTGACGTAGCTATTTTGAGCAATATTCACCGGGGTTTTCTGTTTTCTTTATTTACTCACAATGAGCAATCCCTTTGAGGTCTCACGAGCTTGTCATCTACCTTAGATTTTTGCTTTAGGACTAGTCTATATGATTGTTGTCTTATTATTATTTATTTATTTTAACACATATATATTAGTACAAGGAGGCACCAAATACATATGTGTGTGAGGGCTCTGATACTGCCCGGGTGCCCAAACCAAAGCAGGTGGTTTTCTTAGGAGGCCACACTCGGAGCCTTCAACATGAAGGTCTGATCCACAAGGCAGTGGAGCGACGTAAGGAGATGCAGTCCCATGGTAGCCGGTGACCAACGATTGGTTCATACGCCATTTGTTCATTCAGGATACTGGAGCCCATGTGCACCATTGGTTTGGAATCAGGGACTTCCAACACACCTAGGTGGACCCTTGGTGTCCACCAACCCGGTTAAAGCGCCGGACATTCGCTTTTCGTCCTCTCAATTTCTTAAACAACACCCGTGATACGAGAAGGCAGTGAGTAGGACTTCCCAGGCAGAGGCTATATACGCGTGACCATGTGAGAGCATTTCGAAAGAGAGAGAGAGAGAGCTAATTCTCTCACCCTCGGCCGTACCAGGGCATTTGGGGGCAATGTCACTAGATTGATTGTATCGGAACAAATTATCCCATCCAAACTGATTAAATTTTAATCCTATGTCCTAGATCCTAAAGCTTGATTGTTGTCTAGTCATAATACGTTGACTAAGTAAGCTGATTGATCATTTAGATCATTATAGTAGTTTTTTCTCCTCCGTCTTATTATTATTATTACTACTAGTGGCTTTATTAAATATATTTTTGGCACAATGTGGGATTCTCAGCACAAAGTATGTCAACAAGTTTCCTTTTCTTATTTCCTAATCGATCCTTGCGATAAGTATTGAGTGTTGCCAGTTGTTTGCAGTTCTGGAATTGACATCTGAATAATGTATATTCTTTTCGATACATACTACCAGCAACCATAATGTCTCTGATTGGTTTCCTTTGTAACTTGTACACCGGAATGTCGTAAACTGTTCACAAACGTACCTGAATAGGTTTGAGACTAATAGGCATAATGATGTGTTAAAAAATACAGGGAAACAGATAACTTACTGAAATATCCTAATGACAGGAACAGGTTGCCCAGATATTCAAGCACGCCACCATTGATCACCCTTAGTAGATTGTAATTGACAAAGTCTCGGGTTTCAAAGTGTTTTGGGTTTTAAAAAGTTATTTCGCTTATTGCATAGCTCCCCCAATTATCTTTTGCTGAAAAAATATAACAGCTGTGCCTTCATTACTTTATGTTTTGAAAATATTGGCGTGCATGTTCCATGTATTTCATCATATATATTTTAGTCATTAATAATCAACATCTGACGCGGCACAGATAAATGTTGAGTCATGTTTCCACATAGTTGTTTGCGAAAACTATTCCTGTCTAGTCAAACAACTCAGTAGGTGTAACTGTTGTCAGAAGAAGAATATTAAGCAATGGTGGCAAAGCGACTGATGAGGTTGTACACCATCATCGAGTGATATATTTGGAACTAGTGTTATTAGGATTCTGTCTCGGTTTTTTTGTGTGACTGATCGTGATTTTGATTGTTGTAAACACAACCAGCCGTATAATGTTGATCGGTTGAAGCTACAAAATGTTTGGAGCGACTTAGTAATAACTGACCGTAAGACAAATCCTGACCAAGGAAACAACAAAAATTCAGTCAAGAATGATCAGAAAATACAGAACTTGTAATCAGTTAATATGAATTGAATGTTGGTCTTCTAACGTCCAATTATATCAAAACTGCTGATATGAATTTTCCAGCCGCTGTAACTGCGTGCGTGAACGGAAAAACATTTAGATAGGATCAGATCGATAAATTGTTAATACATATAATTGGCCTTTGGTTTAGTAATTTAAGAAAGCAAGCTTTTTAATGGGGACTGATGAAAGGACTGTAATCATTAGTATGAGACTTAGTGATACACTTCAAATCAGTTACATTAAGCAATTTGTATTCACTATCATGATCTTCCTGTACGTCTTCGACATCAAATTGTTCTATATCTTTCATTCAGTGTTGCCGTTCGTTTTTTTGCAGTTTTCTTTCTTCTATTTACTACATGTATCGTTTAAATTTCTTAAATCTTTTTCTTGATGCATCATTGTTTTACTCAAAGGAAGCATGGAGCCCTAGACAATTACATTTTTATAAAGCTTCATACATTGTTTCAGTCTTTGCTCTGGTACGAGTAGTTCACATAAGCGCTCATATTGAAGCATTTTGTAAATAGATAATCGCTGTGGTGGTGACATTAAACTTAGCATAGTATTTCTCATCTCTCGAATAAGTTATTTGTTTGCAATGGCACTAGCACGCCCACTGCTTATTTTATCGAAGTGAGAAGAAATCGGCGTGAGAAACGATGTCTTTTCGTCATCTCTGCTTATGTCCCGAGAGATTGCAACCCGGATGCAATCAAGGATGAACCAGTTAACTGTTCTTCTCCAGATAGTGCGTCCGACAGACATTGTAGTACTAGCTGGAGACTTGAATGCTCAGGTCGGGCGTCTAGGCACAGAAGAGAATCGTTTAGGTGGCCGATTGGGACGTATTGGTCGCAGGACAGATAACAGGAACCGTCTACTGCAACTATGTACATACCACAACCCGTTTCTGGCTAGCACTAACTTTCGGCACAGTCATCGCCGATGTGCCACCTGGAGTCCTCCCTCTGCATCTCAAGCCTGGACTCAGATTGATCACATCGCGATCAGCTACCGCTGGCGTGGTTGCGTACAAGACTGCCACTGCTTTTGGTGTACCTATCTGGACTTTGATCATGCCCTTGTTTGCGCCAATCTTACCTTACTTCTCAGTGGCCAACGAAGTGACCGCCACCAAAGGATTGATGTCAGCAAGTTGGTAGCAATTTCACGACGCCATCAAAATGGCGAGTAAAGCCGCTTGCGGCTCATCCGAGCCACTGGCAGCAAGAAGTCTGGTGTGAGTGAAACAATCTGCGAGGATGACGGGATGCCAATCACTGACATCCATCGACGTCTTGGACGATTGGCAGAATTCTTCGAGGGACAGTTCAACTGGCCTGCTGCTTCGGCAACATCGGTCAGACTGTCCTGCCCTCCATGACCGGTGACGACTGATCCACCAAATGAGGCGGAAGTCCGCAAGGAACTCCAACTCTTGAAGCGCTACAAATCACCTGGCCCAGATGACTTACCTCCGGCTCTTTTTAAAGATGGTGGTGACTTCCTGGTTAAATAACTGACAACGTTGTTTACAAAGGTTTGGGAGCTAGAGAGTGTACCAACGTCATAGAATGAGTCGATAGTTGTCCCTATCTTTAAAAAGGGTTCACGTCGTTTCTGTAACAAATATCAGGGGATAAGTCAACTTCCGATCGCGTCCAAGCTATTGGCTTCCGTCATACTTCGTAGGTTGTTCAAAACTCGAGAAAGATTGACTCTCGAGGAGCAGGCTGGGTTTCGTTCTGGTTGAGGATGTATTGATCATATCTTCACCCTCCGCCAAATGTTAGAACACCGTCATACTTATCACAGTCCAACAATCGTAGTTTTTCTTGACATCAGGGCTGCCTTCGATTCGTTGGACAGGACTGTTCTGAGGGACTGTCTATTGAAGAAGGGTGTTCCTGAGAAGTTAATTAACATCTTAAAGGCCCTATATACAAACAACTCAGACAGAGTGACGGCGTACAACTACCTCTCTTCATTGTTCCATTCGAGCAGTGGGGTTAGACAGGGTTGCCCAATCTCACCACTCCTCTTCAACTTTGCCATCGATGACATTCTGGAAACAGCTCTGATGGTTGTAATTAATGGCAGTGTGGATCGGTTGCCTGGAGAAAGACTTCTCGACCTTGAGTATGCGGATGATATTGTCTTACTCTGTGATAATGTCCAAGTCATGAAATCCGCACTTAATCAGTGGTCAATCAATGTCCGTAGGTACGGTATGTGCTTCGCACGTTTGAAGTGCAAAGTACTTCTACAAGACTGTCAGGATTCTAATCCTGTACTCACTCTGGATGTGGAGCAGATAGAAGTAGTCGAGAAGTCCGTGTATCTAGGTAGCTGCATAAGTGCTGGTGGGGGTGTGAGTGATGAGATCAATGCACGTATGGTGAAAGCTGGAGCGGCTTAGGCCAATCTGCGCCATCTTTGGCGCCTTCGTGATGTTAGTCTGGCTGTAAAAGGTCGGACCTAAAACGCGTCGGTGAGAGCAGTTTTGCTCTATGCTTGTGAAACCTAGCCTCTCCGAGTTGAGGGTGTTACACGACTCTCTGTGTTTGATCATCGTTGTCTCCGAAGGATTGCTGACATCCAGTGGCAACACCATGTCAGTAATGCAGAGGTTCGGCATCATGTATTTGGGCGCAGAGACGATAATTCAATTGGTGTCATCATCCTGAAACGTCGACTTCGGTGGCTTGGATATATTCTACGAATGTCGTCCCAGAGAATCCCACGTCGTGCATTACTTGCCAACTCTGGGACTAGTTGGAACAAGCGGAGAGGTGGTCAGTGTATGACATGGTGTCGGGGTATGAAAGAAAGCTGCACGGGACTGGCTTCTGTTGGTCTTTCACGACTCGCTGGCTTAGGTCGGAGAGATGGTGAAACACAGTGGCTAGAGACGTTATCAGATATGGCTCAAAATAGAAGCCAGTGGCGATCCTGCTGTAAACTTCTTTTACTTTCTTCATAAAAAAATGGTTGTATCTTCCTTAACTGAAAGAATTCTTTTTGATTGTACCTTTCCGTATCCCCCATTATTATTGTTGTTACACTTCGTTACACTAATCTGGTCCTTATTGTTCCTTTTCTTTTTTTTCTCCTCATTCACATTGTTTTGTGTGGCGCATAAATATCTGGTGCCCCCTTGTACCAATATTTATGTGTTCAAATAAATAAATAAATAAAATCTCATTTCTTGAATAAGTTATTTGTTTGCAATAGCACTAGCACCATCACCGTTTATTTTATCTAAATTCAGTGTTCCATTGTCAAAAATAAATAAAGATGTAACTTTTTGGCGGTATAAAATTACAGTTCGATGGCATAGGATATTAACTGTGAGAAAAGTCGTTAACATTGAAGATTAATATAATTACAGGTAACGTCTCTTAGTTTATTTGTATTGCATTCATATGCTTACTTCATATTTTCAATCTCAAATAATATTAGTAAAGTGAGGCTGAAAGCTTTTTTCATTCTTAGATTCATTAATTAACATCACTGGTTACTACCTAATTTCAGAGAAATCTGAGTGTGAAGTAGGCAGCGATTGTGGAGATTTGGAGACATCTTGTTCAACAAGGTTGAGAAGTCATCACTCACCTCTTGTGGATTCTCTGGAAAAAGTTGTTTACGATCAATCAGACAATTTCGCATCCAGTGATTCTGATAAGGTGCTAACTGATGAGAACACTAAAACTGATGAGTTGGTAGGTCTTCACATCTTATGTTTTCTTCTACTAAGAAAGATATATACAAACAGATCTTATTTTACCATTTCCACTCACTGTTTTGAACATTTAAAAATATCTGTCTTTTTTGTTAAGGTCATGATATTTTTTTGTCGGATGGAATACAAACAGCGATACATTCATATTTATGAGGTGACATTTTGATGCGCAACTTTCTAAGAGCGTATTACGATATTCTTGCACTTCTACAATCTATGCATGACCCAACTTTTAGTAACAAGGGTTTGTTACTAATTTCACTTAAATTTAAAACACCGGCTAAGTTTTACACGTGACAGATTTATTGCTTTGTACATACTTGTTACTTGCTTTTGCCAGACAGAATTTCATTCGTTTTGATTTCCGCTTATCCTGTTTAAAATGTTCCCAAATGCTTTTTCACGCATGTAGTTCTCCATTTTGTCAGGGTGGTGTTACAAAAATCGTGCACACGTTTTCTTTAGATCAAATAGTATCTCATTTTACAGTCCATAAAATAATCGAATAATCCCATTGTTTCTAACTTCGAACACGTTATTGGTGATAATTTTATATATTCAAGGTTTTAAGCATATTTTTTCATGTGTGTATAGCAATCTAGAATTTTGAGATCAGGTAAATTTGATTCATTGGTTAACAAGAAAAGGGTATTTTGTTTTACAAGTGGTCAATAAACCACGTCAGTTCCATCTTTTATTGGGCATTACAGTGTGTCTGCTTGGTGTTTGTATAATTTTAACCCATGCCACAATAATGAAAATTTATAATAAAGCAAAACATGTAAAGTGTATTAGATCAGGCCTATTTGAAATGTTACAGCTGCTTACTGTCTTATGTTAAGTAGGTTGACCTTAAGGCGGCATTTGACTCTGTTGATCGTCAGATTCTATGACAGCGTTTGTCACTGAAAGGAGTACCAAAGAAGTACATTAACTTTATAAAAGCCCTCTACTCGAACACAACTGGCCGAGTGAGAACTTATGGAGAACTGTCATCAGAATTGATTACCTCAAGTGGTGTTCGTCAGGGCTGTCCACTCTCTCCATCCTTGTTTAACTTTATCGTAGACATGCTTTTAGAGATAACACTTTCCTCATCTAAATTTCCAGGTGTTGAACATCCCTCCGGGAGATTCGATTGTTGACTTGGAATATGCCGATGACATAGTTCTATTTGATGAAGACGCTGACAAAATGCAGAGTCTTCTGACCACTCTAAGCAACAATGCAAACACGTTCGGCATGCGATTCCCCCCTCGAAATGCAAAATGTTACTTCAGGATTGGGTTGCATCGACACCCGAACTAATGATAGGGAGTGGAGTAGTTGAGCGTGTCGACCGCTTCACTAATCTTTGAAGTCTCATCAGTCTTTGTGGCCTGGCGTGTGACGAAATCTCAGCACGGATACAGAAGGCTCGATTAGCTTGTGCCAACTTGCGTTATTTATGGCGTAGGCGAGATATCTGTCTATCAACCGAAGGACGTGTTTACTGCGCAGCAGTTCGTTCCGTCCTAATTTATGGCAGTGAAACATGGCCGGTAAGAGTAGAAGATATTCTTAGGTTACTAGTATTCGATCATAGGTGTCTTTGAAACATTGCTCGTATATCTTGGGACCACCGAGTAAGTAATGCAGTTGTTAGGAAACGGATACTAAGTAGGGATGGCGAATCAACTGATGAAGTATTGGAACTTTATCAGTTGAGATGACTGGGACACGTGTTACGTATGCCCAACCACCGACGGCCCCAACGTACGATGTTTTATGGTGTAGGAGTAGGTTGGAAGAAAGCTAGGGGCGGCCAGACCAGAACATGGCACAAATCCATGAAGTCACTGACAAGTGGACTGAGTCATGTTGGTAGGTGTAGACTACGTGGTTGGGATCAGCGAGACGATAACAACCGATGGTTAGAGACCTTAAATGACATGGCTCAAAATCGTTGGCAATGGCGCAGGTGCATCCACTCTTTGTGTTCTCCCAAGTGGTAGCCTTCTGAATTCTTCATGTCCCTTTTTTTTCTCTTTCCAAATTTATTTCACTGTATTATACTCCTTAACGAACATCTTCAAACCCTAATCTTTCCGATTACTACCTATACTTTTGGAACCTCTACCACTACGGGATTTGAATCGACCACTGCATCTCTGTGCTAATGTGATGTGGCAACTTGAACTGATGTACGTACGTACGAAGTTCTACGTTATTACTGACTGACTGGTTTGGTAATTTAGTATGAGTTCCAGGTCTACTCAGTATACTCAGATTAAGCTGACTGTTATGCACTTATGGCCTGTTAATGTATCGTGTGACTTAGTCCCCATTTAGAAACACCGACTTATGTTATATTCTCTCCCTTACAGTTATAACCCAGCTATTCCTATTGCTTAGTATTCTTGGACACCGACTCACTTGACAAGTCCCCAAAATCAGAACACGGTTGAGCAGGAAAAGAGATTATATTCCAAATAACAAGGTTACATTGAAGTAAGAAGCAAGTAAGTGCAATAGGGAAAACGTTAGTATATTTATAGTTTTTCACATGAGAAGATTTCTAGAGTGTTCGCTAAGTATTGGCTAACGCTGGTTGGATAATAATTAGCCCATCAGCGTGCACCAAAGCAATCGTGCATTGAGCATGCTTTAATCCAGTCTATGTCTCGCTAACACCTCCCCTTTGAGCAGATTCGTAGGATCTGGTGCGTCGAGGACGCTTGTGCTTCTTGGGCCGAGACGTACGATTCGGTGGAAAATGACCTTCTTTATGTCCACGTTTGTTACACACCTGACGTTTATGCCTGAATGGACAGAATCGTACATAATGCCACTCACCACATAACTAGCATGCAGTCGTTGGTTTGTTACCAGTTGTTATCGGCTTCTGAACTTTTAACCTAGTAATAGCATTGACACTACTGCAGGTTAAATTAGGATTTGCCTGTCCAATCAACTCGCTTTCGTGTCTGATGCTTTTTAGCCGCTTACACTCATCTGTCAATGTTCTGAGTGTGACGTTTGGGTCTTGATCCTGTCGAGCCAAAAGTCTAGTCCTGATCTCAGCATCTTGTAGTGACTGAAGAGCTTTGATGAATATTAAGCATTTAAATTGATCTTCTGTCAACGAGCGTAACTTGACCCGTTCACATTCTCTGTTGACGATGTCTGCTAGAACACCATATTCATCGGCTTCGCGTTTCACCAAATTTAGACACCGATGTTGAATACTAAACAATAAGGATGACTCACCGAATATCTCTGACAATTGAATTACCGTCTCCTCGAAACTGAGCTCTCGAGGTAACTTTGGCAATATATGGTCAGTATAACGTGCATGTTCATCGCTTCCCAACTTACGTACCAACAGTCGAGTCTTCCACGCGTCGTCTTGGTTACAGAATTCTTGTGTAAATGTATCTTCCCAACGTTTAAACCACGTGAGAAAAGTATTTCCACTTTCGGGATCATAGATGAATTCTGGGATGGTGCTAGCGACTGCATCACAAGACGTGCTTGAAATAGCATGTGAACTCGGGCAGTGAATGTTAAGCTGTTGAGCCAGAGTCTGCAACAACCGCATTTGTGCATCAAGTTGTGCTTGCTGTTGTTGTAGTATTCGGTTAAGCTGGTCATCTGATATGGACATCTTGATTTTGTTTTCCTTTTTCCTCGTCGCCACTGTTAAATTCTCTCTTTCACGGTTATAACCCAGCTCTTCCTATTGCTTAGTATTCTCGAACACCGACTCACTCGACAAGTCCCCCAAATGATGCATGAACCAGTATGAACAGTCCAGAGACAAATATGAGTTCTTATTGGTCCATTGAGTTAATAGCTTCTCTCTTAATCTAGCCGGTTTAGTCTTGATCACCAATATCAGCCACCATTAAACGAATAATATATTTCAGACACACGCAGTTTATATACAATCAAGCCAGACCTCATCATACCATAAAAACAGAAAATAACAATTATACAAGATTAGGCCAAAAGTGAATGTGATTGTGAGCGGATGTAACCAATAAATCGGGAATATCTTAAGGATAGTAAGTCATATAATAATAGTCAATAAGTCAAACGGAAGCTTATAATAAAAGGAATGTGAGTATGTATAACATATAGTTACTGAATAGTTATGCAATAAGAATATATATATATATATATATATATATATATATATATATAACAGTTCATAAATAGATCCTAGCAGTTACCATCCGCCTATTGTTCGTTCGGATATAACTCTGAAACTTTCATCTATCTGTTATAACCTAGGGCATCCGAACGATCAGCTTCATTATTTCATAGTGGTCCAAATCGATTCACATTAGCTAGATGATATTTTACTTTGTCAGTTAACTGTAATTTTAGTGATCTCGGTTCGATCGTGATGCAATACTTGTCGAGGAAACTGTATATGACTTTCTTACCTTCTTTCTCAGTTAGTATGTAGTTATGTCGAATAAGTTTACGTCGTTAACACGATACATTCTTGATTTTGTGATAATTCGAATACATTCTGTAGGCGAATTTGATTTTTGTTGTGGATGGCTAGGAAAAATTGTGATTTACTTATTCTCTGATTCATGTGAACTGCTTCATTAAGTACCTTGCAGTTATCTTATGCTACTACACGAAAGTGCAAACAATTGTTGGTTGTTTTGAGGTTGGTAATAAAATTGTAGGTGAGACTATACTTTATGGACGACCTTTGAGCGATGCTAAAAAGATCTTGAAAATGTTCACTTACTGCGGTTATGTGAGGGTTATAAACCAGTGTGAGGAATTAGGATTAATATGTACAGTTGATAGTTAGGGTTAGGAATTAGATTTAGGGTTTTCATCAGGAACTGACATCAGCTATAATGGCAAAATGCTATTTATACAAATGAATTAATTAGTTTCGCGCCAAAATTCACGACCTGTTATCGTAAATCTGATTGGTTCGTCCATAAATTATAGTCTCGCCCATTCGATGAATCTGCGAACCTACATTTTGGAATTGGTTTTTGACACAAACTGAAAAACTAAATCACAAAGTAATTGTTCATGAACGACGTAGAATAAAGATTTATCTGTTTCGTACACAGAGCATTCCTGTTCGTTTTTAAGGTGTCACTTATAGATGATGAAATGTTTAAGTTTACTCTATTTTACATGAAACTAGCTTATCTATGAATCTGAAGTAAGTTTGTAACAATTCAATTATCATAGGTTGTAAGAGAGCAACAAGTATGCTCATATATAGTTTTTTACGAAGTACAGTCGGTGTGTATTATCAATCCAATACTAAAAGGTGGAAGGAAAGTAACCATGTGATCATACCTACTTTTGCAGTTCATATTATTTTGTTGCTTCAATGTTGGTCTGCAATTCACTGTACGACTTAAAAGGGTATTTCATTATCTAAAAGCGGATATATCATCACGTACATGTTGCTTGCTGTCACTCCAAATATCTGTTGTGTGTTATAAATAACTGGGTTGCTTCTTATTATATTTTCTGAACTTTTTTTCACACAGTATTACATTATTCATTTATCTTTAATAAATCAGAGCGACTTGAGAAAGCAAATCAGTTCACATGAATTCAGTAAGAGATAAATTATTGGATAGTTCTCTGAGGGATAATTGTCTATAGAACACCTGAAGATTATAGTGTACTTCTGGGATTCATCCTTTCATTTAGATTAGCTAAGATATGACCCTTAAAGTGGTATTTTTTTCAGTGTTGTGTTTGCTTTCTCGCCCTAGCTCTATTATCGATACCCATACAGTTTAGGTTTGCTGGACCGCGCTCGAATTATTCGGTGAAGATACGATGAGTGGTCTTTTGACGGTACTGTTTTTATATTAGAACTTTAGAAAATTACCTGTTGCAGTGCAATATAGCCTTGGTACTTTTATTGATCTAAACAACACATTCATACTTACTTTCAGAGTTAAATACCCATTTGTCAAATTAATCAGGATTTAATATTTCTGTATTACAGTGGGAAATAGATTCTACATTAGTTAATGATTGTTCTACTGTCACTGAACAAAAAACATCACAGGATTTATGTGAAAAAAAGTGTGATGCACCAAAAGTAACAATTTCTTCGGAATACATTGCACAAGAATCAGCTGTTGATGCAAATTCGCAATTGTCATCCCTAGAAAAGGAATTGCAGTTAGTGAATAAATCAATTCCCAATGAAGATATAACCTCTTTGCATCGTTCTTCATCTGATGTAGTACTACCATTCACTGCTCAACCAGTATGTGCCGATGACGATTTTGATACTAATACCACTAGTTCGGATATTGAAGTAATTTCGTGTTGTAATTCTACATATGGTGGTGAAGTCCACGAGTTACATTCTTCTAATACACCTACTGTTATGTCTCCTGTTAAAGAGCCACGTCTGTCATTGGGATTCAATCAAAACTCACTTGTTTTGCAAAAATATTATCTTGGAGGATTTAGTGCTCCGGTTGTTTTAAACAAATGGTAAGCCTAATATAGTATTTTAGATTTGTTGGTTGTCTTTTTTAAACGCTTCAATTATTTCTTTTAATCAAGCACTGGGATCTTGATTTCGTTTTTATGCAAATCAATATACTAACTGTTAGAGTATCATAAATTATAATTGATATTACAAATTTGGAAACAAACCAACACTTATCAAAAGTTCTGCATTATTGTATCTCGTGCATTTTTTTGTTTCATCAGATTACATTTTTAATTTCTGATTTCTGTGATAAGTAGATACAATTTCAAGATGTGAAAACGTTTATGCATAACAAGCTGTCAATTTGTATGCAGCGTTATATTTGGAAGAAGTCTGACTTTGGGGAAAGTTTCATCTTTCAACATGTCTATTTTTTCCACCAAATACTATGTCATCATAGATTTTATATTTTAGTTTTATTGTTTTCTTTAACTTCTCGTTACTCCACTTTCTTAGTTCTAGTGGTCCTGAACATCGTAGATCTGTTAGTGTTTCGCAAGATTTATGTATGGGTAAGCTCAATGGTAATGAATATTTTGTTCATATTATTTTTGATTAAAATCTATTTAATACTGTTGAAGAAAAGTTCGTTTCATTTCGAAAGACCACTTCAGTCTAAAAATATTTTTAAAGTCCTTAATTCATCTGAAACATATTTATAGATCAATTGTTTAGCTTCATATGTATTTTCCTCCGGCCGTAGCTGTTACCTTCATGTACTGATGGTCGTGCTTCCATATCGTAATAACTCAGTAGAAATATGTTGGCAAAATTCGTTGGGGAACGTGTTCCTTTAGGTTCTGTTGTACAAGGCAGGTTGGTTGGAAGGCAGTAAAACTGAAAATAACAGGCTCATAGTCCGTGGTCAAATTCGTACTGCAGCATGGAGTTCTCCTCAAACAACCAGTATCTGCATCAGTGTTGCATTCTCACGAATGGACGAGGAGTTAGGGAAGTTTGGACCAAAATAACACGCATGTCCTTACTCCAAGGACGTCCGTCATCAAGGTCTTAAAGTGATTGAGGTGACATTATCTAAGGCTATCCAAGAAAAGGCCCCGAGGAGCTGTCTTTTAGGCACTGATTACTCTTCCAAGTCGGCAGTGTTACACCTAATCCAGTTTCTGTTTCAATTCCCTTAAGATATGTACTTCCACGGTGTGACCAACCGGGAAGGGGAAACCACCCTTATACTCCCAACAGCATTTAAAACTCACATACATTTATTTCTTAGGGCAGGTATTTTATCTGTACACGGTTTGTTGCTTATACGTAAAATTGCTATTAGTGATAAGTGAAATACACCGTTTATTCTACTTAAATTCTTAACCTGTTTTAAAAACTTTTTATCACTTGAGAAATAAATCATTTTCACTGAATTAGGTGGCATAGAGTAAAGCCTAAACATATCCAATCTTAGATTGTGTCAAATATTGATTTCTTGTTATTCATAACTCTTGTCTAGGGAAACTGAGTGGAAAAGACACCATAATATAGTAGCTTCTTTGTCTACTGAATTGAGTAATCTAATGCGCATAAATTTGTTTTAAATCATGGCGATGTTTCAAAAATGTCTTTTAACACTATCGAAATCTGGTTTGAGGTTTCCTAATTATGCTAATGCCCTTGACTGCGGAGTATTTGGGTGGTACATATTAGAGCACTGAGGAAGGATTTCAATGCACTCCTTAATTGTGTAGTTATGTATTTTGACGAGTCCCAACAAGCATAAAATGTGGGTTTATATAGTCCCACAGATTTTATATGATCATATAAAATGGGGACCAATTTCAATGAACGATCTATAAAATATTAAGCTAAATCTGTTTTATACAAATAACAAATGTTTGGATAAAGTGTAATTCCGCAGTCCTGGGCTTATCATATTATAATTCTTATTCGTTTGCACACGTTCGTATATTCATAACTGAGTTCGATTATTTATTGGACTAATGAAGCTCACAGTGAGCTGTCATTAGAATTGCTTACCTCAAGTGGTGTCCATTAGGGTTCTCCATTTTCTCCGTTTTCGTTCGACTTTGTCATAGACGTTCTTACAGTTGCAACGTCCTCATCGTCTAACTGTTTAGCAATTTGTCAAATGATAGTTTTGTTTGGCAAAGATGATAACAAAATACGGATTCTAACGATCACCACGAAGAACAGTGCAAGTATGCTTGTGATGTTATTTTTTCCTTTCAACTGAAAATATTGCTTCTGGACCTACCTACATCAACACTTGAATTAACGATAGGGATTAAAGTAGTTGAAGGGATCGACCACTTAACGTATGTTAGTCTCACCAACCCTGATGTGTTAGTGTCTGGCGAAATCTCGTAAGGGATTCAGAAAGTGTGAGTGACTTTTGCTAACTTGCGTCATTTGTAGCATAGGTGAGATGTACGTTTGCCGACTCTAGAAAAGTTTACTATTCATCAGTTCACCCTTTTTTATGGGTGTAAAACATAACCACTAAGAATAAATATTTGTAGGCTACTAGTATTCTATCATAAGTGTCTTCAAAGCTCTGCTCATATATATATATATATATATATATATATATATTATATATATATATATATATATATATATATATATATATATTAGTGTGGAGCCATGATGAAAAACTGATTGAAAAGAAATACGTTAAATACTTCATTTACAAATCTTCCATCAATTATCCTTTATATACTTCATGATTCTTCCACTTCTCAATTCCTTTCTGCTTTCTTCAATCCGGTCTTCTTAGCTATCTGCTTTCAGCCATTCAACTTTTGATTGGCGTTACATACTACTTATGTCGAGAGACATAAAAAGCATACACAATTTCCCTACTATTACTGACGGTGTTACTACTTCTGTTATTTCGGGATTTGCCTTGATAATTTTATCTCGACGTGCTAATTTGGTGTGGCAACTTGAATTGATGCACATGTGTCAGATTTTACATAGATTATGACTGACTGATTGGTCTAACCAAATTAGATTTTTGACAGACCAATTCGCTATTTATCTATTTAAAAAGTCGAAATAGAAAATGGAAATTCTCATCTCAATCAAGGTTCAGATCAGTAGACTGTATGTCAATGGTGTCTACATACTTAACAATTCCCTGTCGAACTCATGAACAACTGTTCTTTGATCTTACCTTTGTCAAAAAGTATTAAGATTATTTTCTATGATGAATGGTTCAGGATAAAAATAATAAAAACTTATTCATCTGGTTTCTAAAAAACTTAAACAGTTACCTGTTTCTTATTCAAGTAACAGTTGTACTGAAAAACATATTGATTAAAATGAAATTGAAATAGTAAAGCTTTGTGCCGATAATTCCGAGTTCATAAACTTAAACTACATGTTCGGCGACAAAAATAAGTTTGTTTGTTTTTGTTTTAATTGTAAAGGTTTGCAAAATACTATTGACGATGATTTGACATTTGCCTATCATGACCTCGCTAAGGTTAGTAAGATTAGTATTATTCTAAAGTTTTTTTTAAAAGATTTACTATTCTTTAAACATATGGATACTGATTTTTGTTCAATATGGATTTGAAATCCTCTAGAGAATATACCTACCTCCTAACAAAAACAGTTCCTAGTTTTTATGATAATTTAGGCTATGACCGTTTTTGTGTTTAATTTTTCAAGCACGTAAAATGATACTATATGGTGTTCATGATCAATAATTTAGTAACGGTACAGTGTTTTAGGCATCCAACACTCAACATATTAGGGTAGCAGCTATGTTAGGTGAAATGTCTATTTCTTAATTGTTTATGGTGTCCGGTAGATTGGCTGGAGAGCAGCTAAAAGCAAACGTAGTCAATTTCAGATGTTGGAGAAATCATAGTGATTGCTAACTGTACTGGATGTGGGATTGGTAAGAAAATTCCTAAGAATAACCAGGATTTTTAGTAGTAATGCATTCTCACAGAGTAAAGGATTGTTAGGAAAGTCCAGTGTGAATCTGGAAATTTTTTTGATGTACAGATTTATGATGATAATTTTCAAGGTTCTAGAAGTATGTGATCAAGTTTAATGGAGTGAAAATGAGCAACTCAAAGGACCTAGTTATTGTTATTATCTTGATTGTGTTGATGAAACTTATCTTTTATAACATTTTAGGCACAAACGTAATATTAATTTCGACATCAGAAAGCTTAATCCTAGTTGATCGTCATTTATGCATAGTCTAACTTGAACTATTCTATAAGAACTCCGTAGGTAAAATCTTTAGAGTAGATTATTGCTTCTCTAAGTTCTGGACTTTCTGAGCTTTCTCTTCCCAATATTAATTATAAAGTTGTATGCCGATATCAGGATTCATTTAATTCCCAACTTACTGCTTTACTAATTTGACGTTACATAGAATTTATGGACTGGAATAAATTCCAATACTATGACGTGAAGAGCGGGTTAGAGTATTGGCTGATAGTGCTTTTAGATTCATGAAAAGAAGATACTACTATAAATTTGGATATCACACCAAATAAATACAGTAACAATTTTAGCAGCATAATGTGATTTCTAGCAAGTTTTAGCATGTTTTAGAGTTTATTTCCTCAGTGTTAGATAATTTAATTCCAATTCTGTTCAACTCAGTGGTTGTTTCTGTTAGGAGGTGAATTACTCATGGATACATACTTATAACTACTTCATAGTTTATACTATGGACTAACCTTTGTTCGTCAGCCATTAAAAACCGAGAAGCACTAGATAGCTGTTCTGTTCAGGTATATGACTCCTTAGCAGTGCTCATCCGTGATCCCTACCGGTGATCGATCCCAAAGCTTTCATGTCTCTCTGCGAGCGATTAACCTCTAGACCACAGAGTATACATTCAGTAGTTTATAATCGTAACTTTAATCGATTCGTAAGTAGTTTTATTTGACTCGACTAATCTAGCTAGGTATCTTTGAAAACTTTTATTAGTTCACGCATATCTCGAACTTGAACGATTCACATAGAAATATTCCATACAATTTATTGTTTAATATTTTTCAATGCTGTTTATTTTTGTTGCTTCAGAAGTTCTCCGAAGTCAAACATTTACTAAATGTTCGTGAAGCAAAAATTATGCAACTTAGCCATGAGAACAACGTACTACAGAATTCAGTCTCAATATTGCAAGAGTATGTAATAGAAATATATGTTTTCTCGTTATCCAGTTTAATTTTTCAAAAATCTCTTAACATGTGATTGTTTCTACAAAACTAATGTTTTATAAATGATCTATTTTTATTAGGTGGTTTTTTTCGGGTTTATATTATTTTTAAACGTTTTATTTTTTTATCATCAATCATCTCCATGCTGGTCATGTGAAGGTTGGTATTACAAGACAATCTGTCCGCATAAAGATCAGTATGTGCACTTTTATGGAAGAAATGAAATTGTTACTTCAATGGCAGCAGAGCCTACTTTTAGCTTCTCAAGATCAGATGATTACATCATTTATGTCAGGATAATTAATCCAGTTCCAATAAGCTCCAGATCAGCACTAAACCGGGTGGGTTAGGAGATGAGCTATTAACTCAGAGGACCTCTGAAGGCTTCATCGGGTTGATCGAAGCTGTCCGGATTTTGAGAGATTTGGTATAATGCGAAGATATTTTCATTTTGAAATAAAAGTTAAAGAAGCACTAGAAAGCAATAAACACCAGGAACCTGTTTCTCTCTGGTTTTGGACCCTTTAATCGAGTGAACCTCAAACCTTATGGAGAATAGGGACGAAGACATCCAGATATTGAAGAGATCACAGCATTTTAGAACAATGAGTGATAATCTAGTGGTATACACTTTTGAATTCCCTTTCCCCTCAACGCTTTGTTTCTATTTATTGAAACGGTCTTGATAATGCATTTTTATACGAACGGTTGTATTGTTTCGTCTTATCTTTTAAATGTTATACTTACATCGATAATTGGCTTTATATATGTTGGAGCATCTTTATCATGATATGTTAATTTCAAGGTTATGGTACATCCTTCTACAGCATCGAAGTTTTACTTATCAGTGTCTTCCTTTCTGTTAACTTTTGTTTACATCTTCTAGTGTTTTAACATTATTATTATTATTATTATTATTATTATTATTATTTTGTAGGCAATTAAAAACTACACTGACCACACAAGAAATTGTCACTACTGATGTGTCCAGTATTACCTCAGAGTTTTCTCAACGTTTATCAGATACAGAGAAACGGTTACAGGTTGTTTGTCGTGAACGAGACCAATTGAAAAAAAGTTTATCGTCAGTGAAACAAAAAATTCCGGTGATCACACGTGCTGTAGGTGATGATAAACCTTTTGTAAATAATGATATGTAAGTTACTTTTATTATAATGTTTCAGCGTTTTATCATCATGCATACATTTTTCTTTATTTTCATGATGTTAATTTCAACGTATAGTTACTTTCCTCCCGTTGTTCTAGTATAAGCATGGTAACTTTAAAGAGAAAGATACTGCGTTCTATTCTCAGTTTGAACATCAACACTGGGATGTGGTGGGTATATCCAACTGGTTATTCCTAAATACGACAAAACACGAGTCTTGTATTCTACTGCTAGTTATTCTCCAACTTAAATCAAAAGCATAGAAATACAGTTTTCAATCATTCTGTTAATTTTTTAAATCACTGATTCAGCATTTTAAAGCTTCTATCTAATACTTATTGCTGTTGCGCAATAAGCATATTACATTTTACACACTTCACATACACATGCAACTTCCATACACTGTTCTATAATTTTGGTAACGGGATGTCTTGCGAGCGAAATAAATTTGGCGTAGCATCATAACCTTCAGATACTCTATTTTCTACATATGGAGTTCGCTATCTATTTTACCTATTCATCAAAAAAACTATATCAAACATAATTGTCGTTAAGTACTTGTTGCTCATTTATAAGTATAAGTTTCTACCATTATATGAACAAATTGACTTAAACAGATATTTAACCACATTACGTGTTTATTTTACTCTGAACATAACTATTAAACTAATCGCATATATCAGTCAAAATTATTCTTTAATTGAAATGTAAGTTTATCATCCAAGTGGAATCAATTTATTGAATGGTTCTATAATAAATTGGTTTCGTCTTATTAAATTCTTACTTGGTGTGGTAAAACTTAGTAATTTGGACATTGAAATGGTGCGCGACTGTTGAATTTAATATAACTTATTCGTCAATTATAGGCTTCCATTTTGTCTAGTACTTTTTTAGAGGAATATGATGAAGTAACTCATCTACCAAGTGTACTGATCTATTATATTCGTCTGTGTACCTTACCTCATGTAAGAGGGCTATTTATATTACTAGTCTGCTCCAACCTATGTAATTGATAGATTTTAGATACATACATTGTAGAGGGTTGGTTAAATATTGAGTTGGTTATTATTCATCAAGGTGGCTTTATCCAGATTTTATACAGTGGTGTTTATGCTAATTAGATTTCGGAAAGGAAATCTTTTTTTCAAATTAAGTGATTTTTAGAAATAATTCTGTCAATCATTGATTATCATGTGTTGCCAACCATCGCCTACATCGACGCGCGATATTGATTTGAGGGTGAGTAGGTTGGAAGAAAGCTGGGGATGACCAAACCAAAATGTCGTGCCAGTCCATTAGGTCACTAACTGTTGTACTGGGCTATATTGGTAGATGTAAACTATCTGGTTGGTGTTCTGGCGACCATCATGACCAGTAGTTGAATACTTTTCGTGATATGTCTCAAATTCAGTTGCAATGGTGCATATACATCCATTCTTTGTCCACAATTAGATCCCGAGTTTCGACATCATTTTGTACTTTTTATTTCACGAATTCATTCTACGCCTAATCTGTTTCGTTATTATTGATACTGTAGTGAACGAAGATTTGGTGGGGATAACCGATTTATTGTTTAATGCAAAGTCACACCATGGCTTAGTAAAATATGAAAATCATACATTAAATACACCATTTGCACATCTTCTTTGGATTGTCTCACAAACTTCATTGTTCCTCAATTCTTGTTGTTTTTTCTGATTGCTTTCAGTTTTCTCACGTCTACTTCCCATGCCTGATACATACTACTTATATCTGTCCGTATAGGTAGCACACACCACAATACTAATAACATGGTATTCATCATGATAATTTCATCTGGATGCACTAATATGATATAACAAGTTGAACCGATGCACATATTTGCTAGGTTCTACATTGTTTGTGACTGACTGATTATTTTATTGTTTACGTCTTTTCTTTCCCTAAATATTATAACAGAAAACGTGTAAATGAATTAGAGAATGTAATTTTGCAGAAAAATGAAGAAATTGAGAATTTATTAAAAGAAGGTCATAAATTATCTGCTGATCAGTTGAAGACAAATAATCTATTAAAAAAGCTTCGTTCAGAACAGAAAAAAAGCAAGCAGACAGAAGCATCACATTTGTAAGTTGAATTGTGTATTTAATACTTCTACAGTCTTTATCACTCTATATGTATTCTATAAATAAAGAAAACTTGTTAATGTGTCCATTTGTATTCTTTCTCTTACTGTCTAGTATAATTCTGATGAAGTAAACTAATAAATCACTATTCATAGTCAAATTTCTTTACTATTTTTCCCTTGTCATTATTTATTTCTTGTTCTCAGCAAGTTATTCATTCAATTTATAATGTTATTTTCGCTTCAGGATGTACTATCCAGCTTATGAGTCCCAATCGGGATGTAATGCTCATTTTACATTCAACTGTTAGCCTCACTCTACATCTATTCTACAAGTCTCCTTTGAAAGTTCCTTCAACTTTCTTTCTTTGAAGCTCTTTATGAAATCATTGTAGATTTGATATTATATAAAGTTTACTCGAATGGATTATGGCAATTAATTACCTACATATTGAATTTTAAGCTAGTCTCTAGACCTTCGAAAATTGAAAACTGTATAATTTGTTTTGTTCTAACTCTAATTTACCTAACAATTCTGTTTTATAAACACATTCAATAGGCAGCTGTAAAATAGACATTATAATACAATGTTTTTAGGTGCTGAAGATATCCGACTAGCGCTTAATACATAAATAAAAGAGTGAAAAAAAAAGTGTTGTAGACATTTCTGTTTGTGTATTACTTGTATAATTGTTATGTACTTTAATATCATAATTGAATCATTATAATTTTTTGTCTTTAACTCCTACATTTTATTTATTCTTGTTATTTGACTGGTGTTTTTTTGTTCTAGGAAACAAATTGAACAATTAACTGTTGAAGTTCAACGGCTGCGAAGCAGTTTAGAAAATAAGGAAGAGATACTTGGTATTCAACTAAGTAATTATAAATCTATCTATTAATTGATTTTTCTAATAATTGTCAATGCTATTTTTGAATGAAAATGTACTTCATACTTGATCATTGCAATTGAATCACAAACTCTTAGGCGTCGAATGTATTTTATTGTTGAAGGGGTTTCACTCAAATTGGTTCTGTTTTTAGGTTATATTCTACACAGATTAATGTCATTTGGGATATTATCAATAGTCTAGCAGTAATGGATAGCTGTCCTGTCCGACTCCATGACTTTTCAGCAGCACGAACCCATGATTCCACTCTTGGGTTGAATCTAGGACCTTCAGGTTTCACTTAAACGAGTATGTTGGTAGGCCGAATAAGTTCGCCAGTGCACCTTGGTTCCTACCGTTACCTTAACGAGATAAGACCCACGTATTTTTTGTCACTAATTTGTATGACTAGTATGCTATTATACCTGATACTATATGTTGTTTTAGCTATTCAAAGATAAATGTATGAAAACTGTGTTCTATTCCATTATGGTTGCTATTATTACGTATACCGAGTAGCATTTCAAACAATAGTTACTTTCTTAAATCAATTTACGGGTAAACACTGTCATTTCACAAATTAGTTATTGACTCATGTTTTTTCCTTCATTCGACCTTTTTTTAAATCAGCCAATTCTACTAGACAAACGAAAGTGATAAATAATTTGGAAGAACAACAGGAAATTCTTAAGGTAATCAATCCTCACGGAAATATATTTCACTTTTCAATTTCTTAGTATATATTTTTCTATGTATAACATTATCAATACTACTAATAATAATGATTCGGATGTAAAAGTCAGTTGCTATTTAGATTACTTATATTGTTGAGTAGGATTCTAATGATATGATGAATACTTTTTTGTAATGTCCGCTATCCTATTACTTACACTTGGATACGAGAACTAATGTGATTACCACAATGCGAAGTGAAGACTCAAAGATTGAGATAAAAAGATTTACTAACTTAAAAAAACAACGATGTCAAACCAATTACATTCATTTATATACTGATCTTATACACACTTGGTCGTTAATTAATAAACATTATATAAATGAAAAAGTTTACTGTCGAACGTACACGAAGTTCATATAAGATAATAACAAGAATATAATTGTCATACTGGACGTAAAGTTTACACATATCATTCTGATTAAAACTAACACTTAATTGATACGTTACACATTGACTTGAAATTATGTTACACTGAGAGATATAAACTCGATATCATATTGTAGGTATCATTATCAAAGTTTGACTTGATAATTTCAAATAAATTGAGCAGTGGGTAGATTATTATAATAAAATTAATATATTTGTGATATCCCAATGAGTAGAAAAATTAAATTTTCTGACATTTTGTGATTCAGTGTAAATCACTTCTTCAGAGAATAAATAACCAAATCAAAATTAATACATGTTTAAATAGTACGATGGAATAACGCAAGGATGTTATGATCGCACATTAATATTCTTGTGTTGTTCCTTTGTACTATTTTAACTTGGATTAATTTTGATATGGTTATTTTTTCTCAAAATTTCAGAAAATTTAATTTTTCTACTCATTGGGATATTACAAATATATATATTTATTTATACCGATATCATATTAACTAAAATGTTACACTGGGAATAGTAAAAAATGTCATAAATTGTTACACTGACATAGATAAAGCATGAACTCTCCTTCTTATCTCAAGTGATCAGTTTTCGACTGAAAATGTAAGAAAACAATGTATTTGTTTCATTTATTTAATATTCATGAAATGCGGTACTACTAAGCAACATTTTTATACATATACTAATTAGATTCAAATCAGTAAGAATGAAATTAAAATATCTGACCAAAAACAGGAACTGGAGACTCTCATCAAGTAAGTATGTTTTTATCCTAAATATACGTATTTGTACATGTAATACATATTATTGTATACTAAAAACACAGTTGGTAACTGTTATAATCTCTTTCTTACGGTTATGACCCAGCTATTCCTATTGCTAGTATTCTCGGACACCAGTACACTCGACAAGTCCCCAAATCAGAACACGGTTGAACAGGAAAGAGATTATATTCCAAATAACAAGGTTAGATGGAAGCAAGAAGCACAATAGGGAAAACGTTAGTATATTTAAAGTTTTTACATGAGAAGATTCTAGAGTATTCTCCAACTCTCTCGTTGATATTTTTTACCATCTCGGCAATGTATGAGTTTAGAGAATCGATTTGGTTAAGGGCGTAGTGTTTGAAAGTCCTTCCATTTGGTCGAACTCGAGAGCGACGTAAAGATTTCCAATACAACTTTGGATACAAGTTGGTTATTATGCACTCCTTTATAAAATCAACATTTGTCATCGCCTCACTGAGCCTTGCGCTATACTTCAGATACTCATTGAGAACCTTTAACGCAAATGCTTGCTCAGAACGTTTCAATATAGTGAAAATTCCTATTTTGCCATTTGGTAAATAAAGAAGGAACGAATTGAGCGAAGAAATTTCTTTTCAATTAGTTTCTCATCATGGCTCTATACGTGACGTATCTACTCGATGAGTATTATATTATTATTAAAAAACGTATATATATTAGTGTAGAGCCATGATGAAAAACTAATTGAAAAGAAATTTCTTCGCTCAATTCGTTCCTTCTTTATTTACCAAATGGCAAAATGGGGATTTTCACTATTCTCCAACTATCGACTAGTGCTGATTGGATGAGAATTAGCCAATCAGCGCGCAGCAAAGCGATCGTGCATTGAACATACTTTAATCCAGTCCTATGTCCCGCTAACAGTAACCATCGCATGTCATATCGTCTTGTCTATTTTTAATCATATTTAATCGGTTAAGTATAAGCACCAGCCCAGATGACTGAACATCGTGGTAGAATTTTTTCTGTTATTTGAAGAAGAGCGACTGACTGAAAGCTCTGAATCTTGGTGTCGTACTTATTAGGGTTCATTAACAACACATCTGGGAAGTCGGTCATTCCATGAGTAACTGATTAGTAGTGTCCCTTACTGTTACACTGGATGATGACTCATGCTTGAATCCTATAGGAAGCAGCAGTCCTTTTACCACGTCAGATAGGCTTATCGATTGGTCCACAAAAGCCACAGACTCTGTATTTTCCTTTTTTTTTTTCTTCAATTACCTGACATAAACACTCTTTGTTTCAATGGTTTTTTGCAAACAATTCAAAACAAAGGAATAAAAATGTATGTATGAAGGAATAATAAAAATCAAGGGCTTGAAGAAGAGTGCATGCATTTGTTCCGCTTTAATTGGTTCTTAGGCATATTACTAAATGTCTTTAACCACTGATTGTGGCTTTCACACTAATCCTAACCAAATTGTCTGTATCTAACAACATTACTAAAACCAACATTCAATGACTTGATAAACTGGTGGCACGTCTTGGTTGGGCCGCATCTAATTCTCTTTCATCTTACTCGCACACAAACTATCATTGTGTATTGAGATAGGTGGTGGTTAGAGATACGTAGTACACGTGCGAATCACTTCAGTTGATGAAGATCCACAGCCTCATCGACTGATGTTTCATGTTTGCCGAAGACTAACTTTTTCAGTCTTCATTCAGTCGTTTCATGATACACAAGCAATGCTTTTAAGAAACTTATGATCAAAACCTTTAGCCTATAGATTTATAATTTCACAAACCACATTTAACAGCTAGGGGGTAGTGTAGTATTAACTGATCTCCAGTATACATGCTCTGCGGTCATCAGACGGACATCTCAACTACGTCACAGATGACATAAGCTGAAGAAAACCAATCATGCTTTCTAAATCAGTTGATGAAATTCCCATACTAAGTGAAGTTGTGAGTATACTGAACTGCTTCAATCCTTATATTCAATGTAAGCAATAATTTAGACCATTCCTAACGCATTCATTCTGAAGTATTTATCATTGTAAAACTGTTTTTGCTGACAAAACTATTTTACCAATTCAGGGCGTAACTTTGCTTTTAATTAGCAATCATAGCATTATTATTAAAAGTCTACAAATTTTACCTAATTCTCTTGCTTATCTTTTGTTTTAGTGAAAATTCAGAGTTGAAAGAACAGTTGAATCAAATTCACTGTCATTCACAAGCTGAAAGTCAATGTGTCGAAGATTTAGAAAAAGTAAAGGCTGAATGTGAAACCTTAAAACAGAAACTGAACAGCAATTCAAGAGATTTACGAGCATTTAAAACACAACATGAAGAACAAGCGATCAAATGGAGAGAAGAAATTCAGTATTACCAGGTTAACTTTCGGTTCTTATTTTAACATTAAACAATTTATCGGTTTCATTTGAATAGGGTCTCAAGAACATGCTATTATTTTGTTAGGCGTGTGATGAAACATTCCTACATGTGATTCTGTTCACAAAAGCGTATCGATCGTCTAGTGAAAAGACATAACATAGACATTCAGTTACTTCGATTGGAATACGCTATGTAACGTTGAGGTTCTTGTAGATTACATATATAACAAAAATAACTAACAAATGCAATCATTGGAATTAAACTAGGCCTCTGATTAATTGGTTACTGTCTACATTCCGTTTAGATTATCAAAGTCAATAAACAGTATAATAATAATGTAATAATCTTCAGTTGCTACTACCTTGAAGTGGTGATCGGGCTTTCCTACCGTAATGAACCAATCGAGCTATTCTGGCTGAAATAATCGTTTCTCAAGGTCCTACCATACCAGATAGGTCGTTTGAAGAGCCGTAAGACTAAAAGCAGCAAACCCAAGGCGAAATCGTACTGCTGACTGTACAGAGGTGTGACAGCAGTAAGGTGTTTCCTTCAGATAACCAGCATAACAGCGATGCTGCCTTCTAACAAAGAAAGAGCGGGACTAGAAAGGCTCGACCCTAGAAATGCACACTTCGTCTTATCTCACGAATTCCCGTCTCCGGTGATGAGGGTCCCAACAAGTACAGAGCTAACACAAAAATTACTCACAAGAAGCTCGTGTCTGACCCGCCTCGAGCAGTTGTCATTCGGGTACTGAGGTAACGTTCTCAGGTCACTGAGACCCACCCCTGACCGTATTTCGTTTTCAGGCACCTCCAGAAGAACCCTTCCACGGTGTGGGTAACCGGGAAGTGATAACCGCCCTCATACTTCTAACAGCACTCAAGATCACTGTATTCATAATCAGTCTCCCTCCTCATTTTCTATTATTCTTCCTACCTCGACTTTCAACTCTAAACTTTCTTCTCAAGTGTCACCATGGCCAACGATCCTAGTGCGCGAAACGTTGCCCGAGGTCTACTGAAACCTCGCTCCAAACTACACATTGAAGCCTTCAATGTACGCAACCTCTTTGGCCGAAACCCTAGAGTGTCATACCATTGATGTATACTGTGTCTCCGAAACACACATACAGGATCCTAGTGTGGTCATTCACTTGACCTCACCTCGCCAAAACGGGGAGCCGACGAGATACACCCTCCGTTTATCTGGCGACCCGATGGTTAGTTCTCGTGGACTGGCGGGTGTAGACATAGCACTGAGTACGAGGACAGAACAAGCACCATTAGAATGGATCCCCGTCAACAGTCGTCTGTATGTTGTTCAGCGGAACGTCTCCATAAGAATTCGGGAGGATAGAGACATACGTTGTTTCTGCCTACGTTCCCACTGACTGCAGCTCGGATGAAGTGAAAGATGACTTTTACAGAAAGCTCTCTGGAATTCTTCGAAAAGCTAGACGTTCAGACATAGTACTCGTAGTAGGTAACTTTAATGTCCAAGTAGGTAGCTTAAACCAAACAGAAAGACATTCAGGTGGGTATTTTAGTATTCTGGCACAGCGAACAGATAATGGTGATCGTCTGCTGCAACTGTGCCCAGACGATCGTTTATTTTAGCAAACACTAATTTTAAGAATAAGAAGAGACATCGTCTAACATGGCGACCCCCTGCACCAAACCAACGATGGATTCAAATAAACCTTATTGTCATCAGTCATTGTTGGAGGGGCTCAACCGAAAACGGTCGCCCTTTCTGCAATACCTCTTTGGACTCCGAACATGCTCTGATATGAGCACTCATTCGCTTAGGCCTCGCTGGACGTAGAAAAACCACATTAAGAAGATCCATCAGAGTTGGACTCAGTGACGAACAGCCAAAATAGATTCCAGAAACAACTGAGGCCACACTTGGGCAGTTCTGAAAACGAGGCTGACCCAGATGTTGCTTGGAAAGCTATATAATCAGTTGTGGAAACAGCAGTGACATCTGTTAGTGGTTTAAACGATGAGGTTACAAAAAACCAATGGATTTCTTCAAGGTCTGTTGCACTGATAGGTTCTTGTAAACTCATCACATCATGCTCTGAACACGATGATTATCGGGCTGGCTTCAGAACTGGTCGTGGCTGTGTCGACTACATATTCACCATTCGTCAGATTTCAGAACCCAGGCATGCTTATCGGCGTCCGACAATGGTGGTCTTCACTTAAAAGCAACATTCGACTCTATTGACCGAGAGTTTCTGTGGCAGTGTTTGTCATTGAAAGGTGTAGCTCAGAAGTACATAAACCATGTGAAGGCTCTTTACTCGATAACAACCAGTCGAGTCACAGATTATGGCTAACTGTCATCTGATTTTACAACCTCAAGTGGTGTCTGGCAAGACTGTCCACTATTTCCATTTTTGTTCAACTTCATCATAGACATACTGATGGAAATAACTTTCTCGCCGACTGGATTATCAGGAACTGATCTCCTACCAGGAGGTCCAATTATCGACTTTGAATACGCAGATGACATTTTCCTCTTTGGTGAAGACGTTGATGAAATGCAGTCTTTTGGTAGTACTGAGCAAGAATGCCAGGATGTTTGGAATGCGTTCCTACTCATCTAAATGCAAGTTGTTGCTTCAGAACTGGTCTACGTCAACACCTGAATTAAGGATAAAGAGTGAAGTAGTCGAACAAGTCGACAACTTCACTTGTCTTGGAAGTCTGATCATCCCTAATTGGTTGGTGTCTGGCGAAATCTCTGGAGGGACTCAGAAAGCTCGTTTGGTTTTTGCCAACTTACGTCACCTACGGCGAAGGCGAGATGTCCGTCTATCAATAAAAGGATGAGTATACTGCGCGACAGTTCGTTTTGTTTTACTTTAAGGCTGCGAAACATGGTCATTAAGCGTTGAAGATAGTCGTAAGCTACAAGTATTTGACCACATATGCCTCAGAAATATTGCTGGCATCTGCTGGGATCACTGGGTAAGGAATAGTGGTTAGACGCTGGGGATTAGGGAATGATGGCAAATCAGTTTATGAGGTTGTGAATCTTCATCGACTGAGATGGTTGGTCCACGTGTTGCGTATGCCTGAACATCGATTACCACGACGCGCAATTCTGACTAGTGTTGGGGATGGTTGGAAGAAAGTTAGGGGCGACCAAAACAAAATGTGGCGTCAGTCCATGTAGTCACCAACTCCTGGTCTGAAGCATGTTGATAGATGCAGACTACTTGGTTGGGGTACGCGTGACTATCGTAACCAATAGTTGGAGACTCTGTGTGACATGGCTCAGAATCGATCACAATGGTGCAGGTGTATACACTATTTGTCTTACCTAAAACCGCGAGTTTAAAATTGCTTTATACTGTTCTTTCTATGAAGTGAATCTTTCTCTCTGTATCATATCCTCATACTCAATTTTTCTTTTATATATTACTACCATTGAAGTAACTACTATGAATTCGGTGTTCATCTTATTGTGCTAATAAGGTGTGACAACTTGAACCGATGCATATATGCGCCTGCTCCTACGTTGGATGGTGGCTTAGAAATTAAGCATTCACGAGCCTGAATGAAGGTCTCATTCTCGATTTCCTGTATTTAAAGTTGTGAATGCGCACTAGTGAGTAGGCAATATTCACAGCGTGTGCTGTAGAATGAAAAAGTTTGATCTTCATAATCAGTCACATACGTCTTTAATATACACAATTTACCTTGGAGCTACATACTGAGCTGATCTCAACACGGTAATCGAACTAGAATACTCGGTACGTAACTTTGTAATGCGTTAACATTTGAATCAGATGTTACTGGAATCAGGTCTTGGATTGACCATCGAATCTTCTGTGCAGGTACATTTAGCTGACTGATTTCATTAATGAGTTAACGCATTGTTGTGACGTGTAACATCTGAAATTTGATACTGATACACAGTATGCTACGCGCTAACCTCCCTACTGACTAATTGAGCGAGAAAATACACTGGGCTACCGAATAAAATGCTCAAATACTTATTCATATATATATATATATATATATATATATATATATATATAATCTAGCCACCGAATAATTATTTATGTAAAAACCATCCATAAATAATTTATGACAGTTAATACCCATTTATTCTTCGTTCGGATATAACAAATTCGAATGAATATAACTGTTTTGGATATTTCAGCCATTTTTTAAACTAATAGCATCAATAAACTGTTTACTCTCTCTCTCTCTCATATATATATATATATATATATATATATATCGTATTAGGGTTTATTGTCTGATGCCCAGTTGAAAATTGATCTATTGAATGAAACAACTACTACTGCAACGCAACCAATCATGAAACAATTAGAAATTCTTCAATCTAATTTCAATAATCAAGCATTTGAATGGGAAACAAAAGAAAAACAATTGAATAAATTATTAGGTGAGTGTTTCAGTTTGAGAAACATTTCAAAATAGATTTGTTATTTTAATACATTTGAGTATATTTTTGTATTTATAATTTTCTTCATAAGTGAACGAGATTTAAACTATATGCCCACTCTGTGGTTCTAATGATGAACCGTTCGCTTCTTTTCAAAGCTGAAGGTTCGATTTTCAATCTTTGATGAGGTTCATTGGTGTGCACTGTCGAGGAGTCTTATCCTAGGATGAAACAGATGTCTAGTGCTCCATAATTCTCAATGTCACCCTAATTTAGATTAATCTATGGTGAATAAAATTTGTGAACCAATCTTCACATATTGCTTTAAAATTGTTTATTTTCTGTGCTCGAACGTTTTAATATTAACACTAGTGTTGCATGTTGAAATTTTGTTTGGTTCGGCCTACATTGATTGATATTTACGAAGTACGAAGATTATTTTATGAAAAACGAAATTTAGTGTAGTGTCACTAGATGTTATTACCTGAAAGCAAAAATTTAATGATTGAGTCATAGTAGCTAATCAGGAAATTTTAAAGTTCATGAGGAAATACGAATTAGAAAAATCATGCTTGTAGTTATTGTTAAAGGAAAGAAAACTAACATTTATCAACGAAAACTAGCTAAATTTTAGTGTCCTTAACAAGAAGTAACATGACCTGTTGAACCTGGATCAAGGAACTTAATTTTAAAACTATTACTGACGTCCTTACGTCATTCCATCTACTTCATTTTAGGTAACCTGATTGTATTACTATTTCTTACTCTAAAATTGTAGCTCGAAGTTGATTTCGTAGAATCTTATACTTGATTACTGTGTCGTGTTTCAAATTTTTACGTTTTGTGCAGCTGCTGATCTAGGTCTCATTTTTTGACATTTGTTTGTTAAGAAGCTACCTTCATCTGTCATATTTGAATACGTTATCATTATTGGGCAGTTCGATCAGCATTAGTAATTGATCATTCAACTCGATTTATTTACTTTATTCAGTTTATCGTTTAAAGAAGGGTATTTGCTGCAAATATTATGGTGTGCGCTACCTATGCGGACCTATGTAAGTAGTATGTGAGAGGAATCGAACGTAGAATGCTTCTCAACAGAAGACTGAAATAAAGAAAAGAGGAAGGAAAATAGTGAGAAGTCGGTATAACAACAGAATTGGAAGAATGATGGAGTATGTAAAGGACAACTCAAGGAAAATGTACAAATGGTGTATTCAATGTATGAGTTTTATATTTTACAAAGGCACTGGCATTGCGATTTTGCATAAAAGAATAAATTGGTATACCGTATCTGAGTCTCCGTTCACTGCAATATCTTTTCAAAACCTTTGTTTAGTTGTTTGGATTAAAATGTGTGAAGAAATTTATATTTATGATAGGTGGTTTTTTAAAATGAACCTTGCTAGTGAGTACTGATACTAATTAAGTTTGATTTTATACCTATTATTATTTTTCAAAAGTATGCAGTTCACAATTATCGCCAGCTACCTAATTTGATGACCGTATTACATAAATTAGACAAAATGACAACACAGTGATTAATATTTAGTGGTCATCGTCTCAAAACTGTCGTAATTCTATTGTTTCTTTTAAAAAGTATGATAACCATTTTTATTCTATTTCGTTTCCTGCAAGTCCAATTTTAATGTCAAATACGAATCTATGGTAACTGTAAAACCTTACTAGCAATTTGTTAAGGATACATTTTAACTATCGTGAATCTATTGGATTTTGCACTTACATTGTTGTAAGCTTTACTTAATTGTAAGAAATAGATAATCACTTTCATTTAAAAACTTGAACACGATATTCAAATATCCATTATGAACGAATTGTATTAGGCTCTGTCTTTTCAGAGGTAACTTTTTTCATTATATGCTCTATTTTTTGTGAGTGATCCATGGAATGAATTTTGTTATGTTCGTTATTTATTAAAAGCAGGAAGAGTGATATTCTGAGCAAAAATTAAATTTGTTTGGTGAATTTCTAGTAGTGACTTACAAAACTGATATAATTATTGGCGTTTGGTGGAGACTGTTGAATTGTATGGTTTGGATCGCAGAACGATATTAATTAGACGATCGTTGAAAATCTAAAAGTACCGGACAGCTGTTTCAATTTAGTAATACTCCTCAACAGGAGTCGAAAACAGGATCTTCAGATCTCGAAGCAAGAATTCACCTTTCAGACCCTTTGGTTATTCCACTAGATAAAAACGTATTCTTCTGGCTCTTAATCTCGTCTTTTATTTCAGTTCGTTCGGAGGATTGATTCAATTTTTGATCTCATGATGGTGTATCATTGAATCATATTTTATCATTGTATATGGTCAATTGAGCAGTATTGTAATGATTCATTTTCACACCTCGAACCGTCTGTCTATTATTCATCAGGTCATAATCCATGGTAAAAAAAAGTGTCTAAAAAGTTATACTTGATATTAAAATTCACTGCATTCAAGTAAGATTTTCTTTTTCAAGCTAACTTCCTTTTTTATGTCTCTGCACATCAAGATACAGTGTCCTAAGATTTACACTAACATGTGCAATAAAATCTATCATCGAATATTATTTATGGGTTTGTTTCAATTTTTTCTCATGTTTAGCTGAATATAAACTTACAGCCGATAATGCTCAAACGTCTGAAGAATCATGGCGAAGTCAGCTTCAAATAGCAGAGGATAATTTAGCAGTGGCTAGATTAGAATTGAATTCCTTAAAGCAGAAATATGTTGATTTGCAGAAAATATTTACAGCAGAACAAGAAAAATCACAGGGTAGCATGTTCGATTTACAAGAGTAGGTATATGGGTTTTTTCAAAACGATTTTCAATTACGTAATGGTTTGCTGTATTTTTCCCAAATTTAAACAATCAAAAATGTCGAATTTTTTACTGTCTTTTAAATTAAATGAGGATAAATAAATTAACACTAGATAAAGGAATGAATAAGTTTAAGAAAATCGAAAGCGTATTAAACATTTAACAAAAGTTTCATCTAACACATAAAGTTCATGTATAAATCATTATAAGCAAAGATGGATAGTGGCTAGCTGTGGAATCCAGGACGCGCGTTCCGTTCTACTTGCGACTCGTCAGCTGGATGTACATGCATCAGAGTTGATGTTCACTCTGGGACTCGAACCCAGTACTGCTCGCTTCAAACGCCAACGCGTTATCCACTTAGCTACTGAGTCCTGATAACCACTTGCTTGTGCAATGGAGTGAAGTTTAATTCACTTGATATTGTTTTTACTTGAATCTTCCCATTGATGTTTAGGACTGCAATTGATCAGTCTCTTATTGGCATATGTGCATACTGTGCGTATTGCCTCGATATTGCCTAAAAATCAATGGAAAGATCCATGTAAAAACAATACCAAGTGAATCATACATAAATCAGTTATCAAACATGGTGACCGTCCAACATGTTCAGTCATTTGAAGCTTGAAACGTAAAACAATGAATTACAACTCATTGGTTTAAGGATGTATGTTTACCGTTAGGTCAGTAGGTCTTCAGTTCTGTCCTTGACGGAGTCATGGGTGAACACGACTGATGTTTTTCAACTCCGGATGAGAATGCTATTCAATGTCTTATTATTTTGTACAATCCCCTGGTCCAAAAACACTATGATGTAAATTATTCTCAAATTTACGACTTTTCATATGAATGTTGGAAAACTTACAAGGTAGTAGAAATAATTACATTGATTTTAAATCCCTAAGATATCAGCTAACGGAAGAAAGATGAGAGCTTTCAAATGTCTCATCATATTCAGTGAAATTGGTCATTGAGGATATGACTTTTAAACATCATATTTGTCTATAATCCAAAGATATATTGATATATGTGTACGGAACTCCTGTTTCAATTATTTAAGCGCTCTGTTTTCAACCATTGGTTCATTTCCGCAAGATTATCTTAACCAGTGATTTGACTCGAAATCGATTACAATAACTCAGATGCATTCACTCAGTCACATCCCTTAAATTTTGAGTTTGTATATGCCTAGTGTTTTTTCACCGTTGTTGATAATTTGGCTGTTTCTCCTACTCTCTCATCTGTATTGATACTTCCATGTTTCTCTGTGCTTGTTATGCTATGGCAACTTCAATCAGTGTACCAGGTCGTACTATGCGTGTGACCGGTTATTTGTTCACTGATTCATTAAAATGATTAGAAGCCATTGTTAGAATACGATAATAATTCATCTTTCTTCCCTACAAAGGAACCGTAAAATACTTTCGAACACATTTAGCTTGTATACACCCTTATTGATTACTTGTTGATTCCAAACAGCTGTTATGATTGTTTTTGTTAAGCGCAGAAATTGCTATTAGTTTTGGCGTACTTTATAGAATTTCACACAATTCCAAGTTTGCTTCTAATCACATAGGTAACGCAAGATTCTTATCACATTATGGTGCCTTAAAGAGTAAATCTTCAGTTGTTTATTCACCTCTTCATTTATGCACTATTTAAGCGTCATCGATTAGTTGGAGTCTGGAAACCATGTGCGAAATTGATGTAGCAAATTTTAAGTGCATCACCCAAAACAGTCACATATTTATTTCAGTATTTCTTTATATTGGATGTCTTATTTAAAACAATACCTTAATGCATGATATTGTTACCATTTTTACTACTTTGGCATTTGTCTCACCGTATTAATATTATGTGACAACTTCAACCAATGCACATATATCTCAGGTTATACGTTTTAATATCTCACTGATTCCCGATTTTAGTTTAGTTACGAAATAAAATATAGGTAATCGTATAATGTCATTATTCAATAAACTTTCTTTTTTTCCACTGTATTTTTCGAATGTTTTATAGATTAACTGTCAAACTGGAAACATCTAAATCTGAAATGAATGAATTTCTTTCTTGTATAAGTGAATTACAACAAACATTGTTATCTGAAGAGCAACGTTATAAAGCATTAGAAGCAGTGAATAATAATTTATGCTTGCAACTAGAAGAAATGAAATTGGCAAAAGACCAACTTGTGGCAAATAAGGTCATCGATCAACCATTGAATTCACATTCACTTGACGTATGTTTATATATATATATATATATATATATATATATATATATAATGCAGATCATTATTCTAGTTTATCTATACTTTTTACATATATAACTTCACTGAACCACTTCTGTTTGTGTATATACTTCGTTTTCATGAATTCAATCATTGTGAGTAGATTTTTATTATAGATATCTTCTTCAACATTTCAGTTTGAAAAAAAAATAACTATTCTAGCCTGATTATACATTTGACTAGGTATATTTTTAAATTACTCTTTATGTAAGTGGGTATAAGAAATTATGTTAGATATGCCTAGAAGTTATTTCATCTGTGAAACTCCTGTTTAGTTAGTACATTATAAAATAAGTCACATGTGTTCAGTAATCGAACCTGTCGCCTGTTTGTTGAAAGGAAGTTATTTATTAATCCCTAATGAAATTCCTGATTAGTTTTAATTATTGTTATTGTTTCTAATTATGAAATGTCTCTGTAGTTTGCCCTATAAAACATGACGTCCCAAGTTAGAAAACACACGTGTAGTTTAAACGTATTCTATCATAGATTTTCCAACTTGTTATTTTTCTATGATTGGATCCTTGCGTTCCTTAATGCACCATTCTAGTGAAAGATAACTTATAATCACAAAACTAAGGATAGACTAATCCACACATAATATTGATCTAAGTTGTATACGAACATACCAATTTTTCGCTTAGAGTTCACCATATCTTTAACATCATGGTTTCAATTCTTTTATGACTGATTTCTTTCTTTTATCTCTACATTTTCACACTTAGTGTAATAATTTCGTCACGATGTATCATAATATTTTTATTATTACAATTCTAGTATTTTCAAACATCTATTGTTCGTATTCAATGTTCAATAATGGTTTGTTATTTAATGAACTGTTAGAAGTAATGTGTAAGAAAAAGTATTCAGGTCAAATTTGGAGAAAGAAACAACTTACAAACACTCAGAATTAAGTCAGTTGGAGGGAATGTATAGCACAAACATGTTTTATATCTCTTTAGGAAGTCTTTTTAACCGATGACATCCATGCAATGATTTAGCGTCTATAAATGTAAAATAATATGAGAAAATAATCGAATCATTCATAAAAATTATGTCATACTGACTGGATTGTTTAATTATGAAACTTTCGTTGTTGTTCTGGACAACATCATCAGCGCTTAATTCATACAAAATTTCAAGTTATTTATTATTCATTGAGAGATAGTGTTGAATGTTGATTTTCCTATTTTTCATTTACGTACAAAATTTGATTATATATAAACCAGTAATTTGAAGTTTGTGTTCTTGTCTGAGTACGCTTTATAGCATTTTGAAACACACCAATTTAAAGTGCGATGAATAAGCGATGAAAGCACTTATTCTCAGATCCACATCTTGTTACAATTTGTTTTTTTTCTGAACAGCCAATTAAGATCGCTAGCTTTTATGGAAACGGTCTGCTTCAAAGCTTAGCACATTAAACTGTGCATAGTAAAACGATTAAGTTGTCAATCACTTTCACTAAGTAGAAGCAGCCTTCATCTGGTCTGTTTTCTAAAGTTTAAATTGGTTTGGCTTCATTATATATGTTAATCGTAGCTGAAAAATAACCGATAAAGTTTAATAATTTGTATTATCAATGTGCTGAAATCTCCTTAGCTTAAATTTTGATAGACTGGCTTATAAAGAGTTGCAGTGATATTGTTGACAATGTGTATTCGATTGAATGGTCAGTTCTTGAAAACTCCCAAATATCTGAACAATAAGCGCTCATCATGTACGGATCGATTTTCAGTTTGTTGTTTATTATTACAATACGAATTATTATAAGACAACCAAAGCATTAACAGTATGTTTGAATTCTTGATTACCTTTTCCGTTTTTCAGAGAAAATCTCCATTCAACAATGAAGTAGCCAGTATTCCAAAAACATTTCAATTTCAGTCTGATATGGTCAATCAAGCTTCTATGGAATATTTTCAAGTAAGAAGTAATTATAATATGGAATCTTAGCCTGTGTTTGAGGTTTATGTTTACCATTTAACCACTTTTTTATTCTCTGTAATCGTTTTACTAACCTTAATAATATACAGTAATTGGAATCAAATACTTAGGTTGTCGAAATGCGTTTGATCCAAGCTTTGTGAGGGTTGTTATTTGTTGTCAAGGCGCGAATCCGCAATCACTAGAAAACTGATACTCTTTTAAAGTCGTCAACCTATTAAACTATTTCACCGTCAGTGGTCAGGATAGACGTTATTTGAGACTAATTTTAAAGCAAATATTTTATTCATAGTTAAAGAAATGCATCCAAAACATTTTTAAATTTTCACTCAAAAGTCTCGGAATACTACATTTTCTCAGTGTCTTCATCAATCGGAAGTATGTCATGTATGTATTCTTAGCCTACTGACGATTCTCTAGGTAGTAGATTATTACACTTAAGGTCAGAAGGAGTATTTTCTTTAGGATCATACCTGTAACAAAATTAAATTATATTGGGGAGAAGAATGGTCCTGACAATAGAACTTGGTGAAGTTTCACAGACATTGATCGATAACTTCCAACATGAAGAATAAGTTTTACTACTGAGGCTTTTTCTGAAAGATTTCAATTATTATGATGAGTCATTATAATATGGTTCATTCGCATCGTGTATTCATGAATAATCAGTTGTGGTACGTCATTGATATTATTTTATTTGTTGGGTTCTATTGAAACCACGCACCGAGCTAAATTAGACCACCATTGAAAACCTAGAACTGCTGGGTGGCGATTTTGTCCTAGCATAGATGTCCTCGGGATTAGGCATCTAAGACATCATACGCGGGATCTCTAATGATCATGAAACTTAAAGAAATTTTATTAAACATGGATTCTTTATTCTCATTTAATTTAAAACAATTTTACTGTTTTATAGTCTCATCTACATTTGCGCGAAGGTGAATGTGCTCATTTGAAACGTGAAATTGAACAATTAACAGCCACACAAGAGAAGTTATTAACTGAAGTTGCTAAACAAACAGCTCGAGCTGAGAAATACGAAAAGTTAGCAGGTGTAAAATATACAAACCATGTAAATAGAACTTTATCACAATCAGATCCCTTTGCTCCTACTACAAATAATTACCATAATCATAATATTGGCGATGTAATTGATGACAATGATCCTACAATGGAATTACAACAACGTTATGAAACTTTATTGATTTTATGCGGTAAATTAACGGAAGAAAATAATGAACTTAAATTGGATTTAGCTGATGTTAAAGAAATGTATAGAGCGCAGGTAAGCAATTATTGATGTAGTTTTATTTATTTGTTTTATGAACTCTTGATCTGATTTCTTAACATTTTTCTGATAGTTCAGAATAAATCTAGTTGGCGACTTGAACACGAAAGAAACGGCGCAAAGTGAAAATAAGAACTTTTCTCCACAGTTAAAGTATGCGCAGATAATCGTGCTTGTTTGAGCTATATAACTTGACTTTAACTGTCTGGAAAGCTCTGAAAGTATGCTGAACATAGCAATAAAAATGTAACTGTCCAACCGAGAACTCGACACGTGATTTACTATCTTTCTAGATGTTTCGAAGAAACTTTCGCTCAGTCCTGATCGTGTAAAATGTTTCTAAGCATTGTCTGGATCTCTGTTAACTTTCCCGAAAAGTATTTTGGAGCTCTTCAACAGACGTTTTGTGTTTTAGAGATGGGTGACAGAAAATCCTGTTTAAGCTATGTGTCGTGCTAGTTGGGGCTGCCAGGCGTTTCCGGAATTCTGATTGAACTGATGCTCACTGTAGGGTGCTAATCTCTAGGTGTCACATTACAAATTAATCGTTGAAATTCGGCCAGCCTTAAGGACTAGACAAATATGATATTTATCACTTCTCAGTTATAAACCAATGTGAAATTACCAGTTTTACAGAGTCATGGTCTGTCTAAAATGGTCAGTGGTTACTCCCCCAGACTGTGAGACTGGGGACGTGGATTCTGATTCTTCAGAGAACATCAGCTCCGTCAAGGTTCTAAGTACACTTTGCTGACCAGTACCGTTTAGCTCAAAACCTATGTTCAGGGTTTTCTTTAATCACCTTCGACCAAATAAACATTTCAGCACTGCTTTGACACATACTGCTTCATGAGGTCTGTCCTTACAATCTGACTGTCGAAACTTCGAAATAGGTAAAACGGAGTATGGGTGTTTGACTTTATCAACTAGAAAATACGTAATTGAGTGATTTTAATAGGTTTCCAGTTCTCATACATTTCATGTCAACTTCATATATGAACACTTTAACAACGTGGTCAACATATCCATGTAATTGACTTGGTACATAGGTTAGTGATATTGTCTAGTAGTTACTCGAATAGAAGCCGAATTCTTTACGTATGAAGTCACGAGTTGTGACGTTTATGTAAATTTTGGATGAACTATGTTGTTTACCTCAGTTATTTATATATTTCGTTGATGCATTACTTAATATCGTTATTTATTTGCCTATAATTTTTTGTAGATTGATATGCTTTTAAAAAGTCAATAGTTCTATCACCTCTGTTCGCTGATTGTCTGTGATATTCAATGAATTAAATGCATAATTTAATGTTACTCCGTAAATGAATTTACACTGTTTCCAAGACGCGTTATGTGTTATCTTTTTTTACAAAAAGCGATGCACAATGTATGTGTTTGTAAATTAACTTATGATTTCAGAAAGAACTAAGCGTAGTTCTATGTTTGATTCTACTAAACTTTTGTATTCAGTTTCACAGTGTTATAAGTTATAATGAGAATTTCTTTGTTTCTGTCAGTTTTATTGTGAATAGTGGTCATGTTATTTCCACTCTCTTTTTCTGTTAGTTTTTTAAAACTGTGCTTGATTACTTTTTAATTATAACACTTTTTCGAGGAGACGTTTACATTGATTCAAACGCCTAAAACGTTGTATTCCAAGATCTACATTGTTTTCGAATATTTAATTTCTATTTATTCTCCTTAGTTTATCGGTAATTGTTCGTCTTGAACGAGTATCTAATATCAGGAGCAAACAATTTGGAATATAATTGGTGTATATAAATACCAGGTGGTTGCTTAGAAAAAGTAAATTACTAGGTGTCAGTTTGATTAGAATAGGTGTTTGAATGATTTGGTAGATTTGGCAGCACTAGTTACGATGACATGGATGGGCAATTTATGCATTCATATTCGGGTTATGCTAGTCTTCTGTCAACTTTCAGAAGCAACCTCTTGGTTAGGGTAAATGCTAATATGAGCTTTGAACCTTGACGCGAACTTAGATAGATTCTCTGTCATTTACTGTGTAGTCACGCCAACAGGGACACTAGATTCTGTGTATAAACGTGGGACACTAATGTAATATTTTACGCAAATGCAGGAGCAACGAGTGTTAAACCACGACAACTTTTACGTCCGTTTTATTTTTTTGGATGACGGCGATACACACTGGGACAATTAGTATTGAACATATTGACGCGATTGAGACAGGTTGCCTTATTTCCTCCTGACAGAATAAAAGAAAGGGTCTTAGTGTAAAGCTACTAAAGATATTGCCTGTTCCAAATATCGACAAGGATGTGTAAGAAGATATTTAGATATCTGCTTGTACTTGTATTTATGCAAAACCTAGCTTACTCTGTATGTAGGAGGTCAGTTCTGTCCTGAGAATCCTGACGTGTTCATATCATCATAGGTGCTTTGACACCATAGAAATAATGTTATATTTCAGTTTAACAAGGTGGGATGGCATTTTGAATGGGAAATGCGGTCATAGTCACGGACGTTTTTCGACCCTCAGGAAGTCGTCTATCGTGAGGAATTAATTTCAGACGATTTGCGAATGAATAACTCCAATCACATGGTCTATAGCATTAAGTTCTGTTTATGCTGACATGTTATGTAATGGAGCGGAACGCGACACCACACATTTGCAATCATTTCGTCTCGCTATTCTCCATACGTTTTACACTTCTAGGAGGTTAATCTAAGATGCTGTGTGAATGTTTATAAATGGATGTGCTAGTGATAAGTATTAGAACGCGAAAATGGCACAGGGTTTTGAACCATACTAATTGCACCGAAGGATTAAGATCTGTGGTAAAATGTCGACATCAACTTATAAGGACGAATACTTTTGTCTAAGAATATATAACGCTTGGTGTTGAAACATTAGTAATACAGCAACACCTTACATTATAGTTGAGACCGACCGAAATATCATTTAATTCGTTAACATATTTCCAAAACTAAGGAAGATGGATTTAAGTTCATATGATGATTTTTGAAGAATATAAAATCGCTTTCAAACCGAAAACTGATCCAAAACTTATTTCTATATTATTTTTTTCGAAACTATCTAACTGTTGGTTCGTAGCCCAGGTAAAGAGGGAGAACTGAGCATGTGGTCAGCAGTCCTATATCGTAGGGTACGACCTTGGTAAAAAAAAGTGCTAACCAGATTAAACAAATCAAACCATTTCAAATCTGCCCTTCAGATTGAGGGAAGAATTATGATAATTCATTATAAAAGCCGAGATCTTTCGAAAGTTATGAGGCCGATGCCCCTTCGAACAACCAGAGCAACAATCAATATAGGTTCTGTTGGGGATGTTAGATCCACAGAACTCACTTGGGAAAGGACCTAATTTTGTAATTTTATTTAGAAAAATTGAATTTCTTTGTTTTCGCGCCAAAGGCGCTCTTGTCATCTTCACGTCGTATTTCCCACTGGGAACTACCTTGAATGCTATCGGTGGGAAGAGACACGTGGACTACACACCGAAAACAACTACGGAAGCGTATAGCCCTAAACCGCCCATCAACAGGAGTAAATCTTCCCTTTGACATCCTGCTTGATACCTTCAACTTAACAGCAGCCCCACCACGAGAAGAAGCTCAACAACAAGCTGATCTCTGTTCCAGAAGGTGGCCTCTCCAACAGCGGCGAGCAACAGTCAAGATGCATTTCGACCCCAGGAAAGTACGCTATTAAAAAGGGGTGTGTTGGGAATGTTAAATCCACAGAACTCACTTGGGAAAGGACCTAATTTTGTAATTTTATTTAGAAACTTTGAATTTCTTTGTTTTCGCGCCAAAGGCGCTCTTGTCCCCTACATATCGTATCTCCCACTGGGAAATATTTTAAATACTATTGGTCCGCTGCGTCTTTAGTATGCTATTTGGTAACTCTCCTCGAGGGCGGTTTTGTACTGTATATATACGTTTTGAATTGTGTTTGTTGTTAACGCTCGTTTCTGGCTGTTTGCAGAATATACTTCCCCATACCAAGCTTGGACTTTTCCCTCTAGTTAGCGGGGCTGGGATGCATCAATAGCTAGCTTACTGGTCTTTGGTCGCCGAGTCTTTTTTCTCGTTCGCAGATTAAGTGAACTCGTGATAGGTTCAAATCTAGCAGGTTCACGGAACATCCAGGAGACCGTTCACGTAGTGACGGAAATCAGGAGTACAACTTGGTAGTACTCGAAACCCATTGGGCCCAAGCTGAACAACAAAGGCTAGATACGAGAGAGATGCTGCTGTACTCCGGTCACGACGAGGAATATGCTCCATACACGCAGAGATATACTCTGATGCTGTCTAAAGAAGTACGGAATCCACTCATAGAATGAAAATCACAAGGATCCTGGATGATCAAAGCATCCTTCTGAACAATTTACGAGGGAATCACAATGAATGTTGTCATAGCAATGACGATGATAAAGATCAGTCCTACAATAGGCTGCAATTAATCATAGTAAAGGCCCAAGAAAGGATCTCACGGTCCTGTAAGATATAAACGCCAAAGTCAGAATGGACGAAACTGGATATGAGGGTATCATGAGACGTTATTGATTGGGACAGCCATCATCCAGAAAGTACAAGTATTTATAAACAATTTTCTACTCTATATCCGTTGAACGGATACAATCAGCAACAGCCTACTGTGGGAGAAGACGAACCAGCTTCTAGCTGAAGGGCAAATTAAGAAAAGACGTTGGAGGCAAGCACTGACATGGAATCCTGAAGGTAAAGGAAAAAATAAAAAAGACCAAAAACACTGTCAGGATGGGAAGTGGACATGAAAATAGTGAATAGCGACTGGAACTGCCCAGTATAAGGTAGGATGGGGAGTGCTGGTGAGCGTCCTATGCTCCTTCATGGGTGTTAACTAGTGTAAGTAAACGACTTGTTTGGAGTCTTGCTACTGAGACAGTTTTCCTACGAGAAACATGTAGTCTGTCATACGATTAAAAACACATTCCCTGGTAATAAGTCCATAGACCAAACTGCTCACATTATATCGAATCTTAGTAAAGTTTGTTACATAATACTCAGACTTGATCCATACTTACCATCCGATATTTCTGAGAGTTGTTATAATTTACTCTTTGTAAGTCCAACAATTTATCGAGTGATTGCTTAAAAACGCAGAACCCACGGAGAACACGTTACCGAACCTCAGGCGAAATACAATTATGTAATTTTTAACCAGCCATAACATAAACATTTGTTTCACCATTTGTAGCTAAGTTAGGTTCCAAAGAACCTTGAGAAAACTAGTGCTTCTGGTAATGAAAGTATCAATGTCAACAGAATCACTGGTGTAGCAGACATGATAATGTCCCTGAGTCAAACCACTTCCCAAGACCATAAAGCAAACCTCAAACTAAATCAGTTGTCCGACATTTTTAGGTTCCAAGCTGTCTGGGCAGTGAACTTCTAGGATTAAGTTTTAAACTAACGCCTATTAATCCAGTGTGTGTTTAAATCAGAAGGCTCCAAAATAGTGGTTGCACCGATTATTACCTCACAACAGGAGAAAATAAAGAGCGAGGTTGAACTGGTTTACACACTGTACTCTTCAGTGGGGTTGGGGAATAAAAATATGTAATAACTGAGTAGAATAAAATGCAGAACTTCTGCAACCTTTGAGGATAATATTTTTACCTTTCCTTCAAGATCTTGGTCGGACTTTAACCGCTTAGCTATGTTTGTTACAAAATCTCGAAGCAGATGCCATTGCTACAGTAAAAACACATCCCACAAATCACACAGAAAATATAGCAGTGCAACTAAATGCTGCTAATTATCATGTAAATTCGATATAAAGTGACTGGAAAACGTCGAAGCTGACGTTTGAGGACGGCTGATGAAGCCGACAAAGATACCGTACTCAATCAACAGTCAGAATATACGACTTTACATTTTTACCAATGCAGTGTTAGACAGAAGCATCAAATGTTTTTGAAATGACGAACGGATCTTAGTTACATCGCCACAGAAATTCTAGAAGCACTGAAAAGCTATTTCGTCTTAGTATTTGATTCCCAAATAATGCACATTCACGACTCGATCATCTTGGATCATACGCATTGATTTTGATCTTGTGCACATACGCAAACCTACAGACTATTGAACTGGGATGCAACTATGAACATATCTGACTTAACTCAATACATGTCTATGCTTAACTTCATTCATTGTGATGGATAATTGCTTCATACTCGATATTGTTAAACTCCGATATTCGTGCTGTCAATTGTAACTTTTGAATAGCGGTTAATGCAGATAGACAGGTAATCAAACGAATCCACATCCAGAGGTCTAAATTTTAGGCATTCATTCACGAAACCTAGGGCTACGGATTCAATTTCTGACAGCAGGGTGGCGGACGCACATTTCCAAGGGGCCTTATAATTGAACAAAATAGCTATCCACTGTATCCAGGTTCAGAAAAGCTATCTGGCTTAATTTAGTTCGTGATCTTAATACAATCTGTAATCAACAGTAAGGTGTAAGCAAGTGTAGTTTCACCAACTGCACTCAATAACTTAAGAACGTTCATCCTAGAGTAGCACTGAAAGCCAAAAATAAGACTCATACAAATGACAATCTAAATTTCGGACATAAATAAATGTTCTCTAGAAATCTCATGATCTGTGAACAACGTATACCGTCAGTCAGCACTAATAAATAATAACTCTAAAAACCTAGAGTATAACCATATTTGTACATACCACAACTTTGACAACAAATGCATGATACGGGCCTGGCTTTCATCATCTTGCGTCTTACATCGCAATCTATTACTAGTAAGTATGATGAGTTGTTGAAAAACACCTTAAATTATTCTAACTGACTTAAAGTGTAGACAGCTTGTCACATCCTTTTCGCACCACGTAGAAATCAGAGGACCGTTTATTATAACACCTTCAATACGTCTATATCATAAACGCTTTGCCATTCGTAGTGAAGAATTTGACAAAAATTGAATCACTAATCACAGATCCTTTAGGCAGTCAAAATAATAGCTCCCCTACACATAGTCGCCAAGAGATCATTGGAGATCCGACGTTATGGGCACTCAGGAGTCGTAGGATTCTTTGGAGATACTTCTAAACCATATCTATTTTATTTCGCTAGTAGCTTATTCGACGTTTGTTTTTCTGTAAATGTGATGAAATACAAGTTTGCGACAAAGAGGAAATAAAAGGAAAGACATTTTTGTTACAACCTTTGCTGTATTATAAAGTTCTGAAACAGTATTGATAGTAGTTGCATTCTTTTTCAGAGAAATCATTATGTCTTTTTATCAATTAGTGGTACACTTTTATATAGCAGGCCAATATATGATGTGTCTGTGAAATTTATTTGGACTCAAGAAAAATTTATTTTGTTCTTGATGGTCCTTTGATGGAGTGATCATTAAAAATATTTGCTCTCGATGGATTGATTTACATTGCACCGGCTAGCTTCTTCGGTTGAGTGAAATACACACGACTATTCATCCCATATTAACTGTTTCTAGATGAATCCGGAATTTTTAGTCACATAGTATTACGAGGCGGTACAAAATATCTATCTTTGAAGTTTATCTATGAATAATGAATATCATGCTCTTAGTAATTTTAGTTTTCGAATATTTCAAAAAATCGAATTCATTTGATGTTCAGTCAAACTATCTGAAGTAGTACCTAATAATAAATTGTGACTCCCACTTTTTTCCCTAACTTCATTCGATACTTCTTCACGTACTCTTTACAAGTTTTACTTTGAAAATGATCATATGATATTGAAGGTCAGTTTTGTTTTATCATAGCAAATATAGAGACATAGCTGAGACAGGACGGCAGATATTTCGGTCCTCAAGGTCTCTCTAGGATAGCTGTATGTAACTATCTATGGTAAGGTTCTACTTGGAGTATGTCAGAATGCTTTTACTCCTTGGTATCTACTTACCGTTGCCATCATTTTATCGCTCGTATTCTTGTAAAGAATAGTGTTAACGTAAAGATTCTGACTGAAGTATACGTTCGGAAAGAGTTAAAATTGTGATTTTTGTTCTAGTTAACACGTATATTTAGAACTTGCGTTCGTTATACTCTACATAACGGAAAAGTGAGCTGCACGGCTCACAGAAAATATGTAGAGCATTGGAGCCTCACATATTTTTTGTATCCGTCTGTTTTTTTAATTTGCAGTCATTTTTTATCTATATGTTACTGACACGCAAGTTTTGTCAGCTCTAAGTGGCGTAGTTTTTTGATGTCGCGTTTTAAATTTTTTTTGTAGATATGTATAAAAAAATAGTTACTGCAGAGCTCACTTTTACTTGTTTGTCAGCTCTATGTATTTCACTATCATTGCAAAGGATTGAATGTTCTGAATGCCTACATCAAAAAGTAAAATATCGAATGCATTCGTCCGTTTTTTTATGAAGTCACGACGTATGCTAGCTAACTCACTACTTTTTATATTCAATCCAAGGTTTGTTATGTTAAGCTCAATAGAAAAGTTGGTGAAATTTTTACATGTATTAATACATGTATATTGTGTAACCTGGCGACAGATATCACTTTAGAATCCTATTTGGTTGTCATTTTCATCCTGTTCAAAGCACACCAAGGTGAGACTATAATTTATGGACGAACTTTGAACTAAGCTAGACTGACCTTGATAGTGTCCACGTAATATCTCGTACCAAATGAGGGTTATAAAACTGTGTGAGGAATTAGAATTATGTTTTACAGTTATTGGTTAATGTTAGGAATTATATTTTGGGTTTTCATCACAAACTGATATCAGCTATAATGCCAAAACTATTTAACCAAATTGGATGACAGAATTTCGCGCCAATATCCGAGACTTATTATCTTATACCCTATTGGTTCGTCCATAAATTATAGTCTCGCCAAAATAACCTTATCAGCTCAAACATTTAAGTTATTAAGATCTTTTATGAACCATTTCACCAAATGTCATTAATCAACGCTTATGATAACTACCCAAACTTCAAGTATTCTGCACGTACCTACTTTTTATTTTATGTATTTATTTAACACATAGATATTGGTACGAGGAGGCACCAAATACATATGTGCCACGCAAATCTCATTTGATATGTGTGAGGGCTCTAATACTACCCGGGTGTCCAAACCAAAGCAGGTGGTTTTCTTAGGGAGCCACACTCGGAGCCTTCAACATGAAGGTCTGATCCACAAGGCAGTGGAGCAACGTAAGTAGATGCAGTCCCATGGTAGCCAGTGACCAACGATTGGTCCATACACCATTTGTTCCTTCAGGATACTGGAGCCCATGTGCACCATTGGTTTGGAATCAGGGACTTCCAACACACCTAGGTGGACCCTTGGTGTCCACCAACCCGGTTAAAGCGCCGGACATTCGCTTTTCGTCCTCTCAATTTCTTAAACAACACCCGTGATACGAGAAGGCAGTGAGTAGGACTTCCCAGGCAGAGGCTATATACGCGTGGCTATGTGAGAGCATTTCGAGAGGGAAAGCAAACTCTCTCCACTCTCGGCCATACGAGGGCATTTGGGGGCACGTACCTACTTAACTCACTCTAACTCAGTGTCTTTATGAGCTGATGTCATGTTTTGTGTTGATGACCCCTAACTTTGATCCGACGTACTCCTAAGCCAGTAAACATCGCACAACGTGGTAGCTGGTGGATGGATATATGTCACACATGTCCTTACCATTTCAGTCGATATACATTAACTACCTCATCAAGAGGTTCCCCATCTTTACTTAGTATTCTGCATCTAACCCCAAAATTGCTGACACAATATCCCCAACATCTATGAGTAATGCTTCAAAGGGATTCGGGCCGAATACTAGTAGCCTACAAATATGCACTTATTAAAGGCCGTACTTCAAAGCCACAAGGGAAAATGAAGCAAACTGCTAAGCAGCGTACTTGTTTTTTTAGTTGACTGGTAGATATCTCGCTTGCTGCATAAGTGACGGAAATTGTTAAGAGCCAACCGAATTTTCTGTGTTTTTGCCAAGTTTTCGTCAAACTGTGAGATTTTGTAACAACATAACGCGCGGTGGTATATCTTTAGTTAGTAGCACTTGTTGCTTTATTTGATGTGGAATTCAGTTGTTAGAATATTCTAAATGGAATGAGCACCGTGGTTTCGGAATGGCAGTAAAAGTTTTTCTCATTGTAAGATTGTTTGCGATTGTCATGAAAAGTACAATAATTTTATGGGGCTTGGCATTTTTCACTTTGATAAAGTTTTACATCATCTTTTAAATGAACTTTAATGAATTATACTTCTGAGCTTCCAACGTCATGGAAGTTGAGATTCGCCTAGCGTACCTATAAAAATCGACAAGTCACTGGTGTGTATTTATCAATCGGCCAAGTTTCAAATATCACATTTCCATTTATCGTTGCATCGTGTACTTTGTAGGTGGTCCTCATTCAGTACATAGCTAAAGGATTTAATTAAGGAAACAGTCTCCGGTGTAATCTGTATAAATTAGTAAGTAGATGTTTTTGGACACTAAATTACGTTTTTTTATTACTATAATACATAAATTTTGTGTTGTGTATGATGAGTATGGTAGTCTTACATCTTGCAACACTGCATCGTCCGACTTCGTGACCTCTTATATAACAACCTAGATGTATCAGTTAGATTGGACAGTTTCGGCATTTGAATGAATTTAGTTGAAACAGTATTGGTGTTCTTAACAAACGTGTGTATGAACTAATTATCAAACGATGGAATATTTTTTACTCAAGAAACTTAGGAAGTTTTACTGTTTTTAACTTTTGTAGAGGGAGTTAAATACTAAGTTGTCATACGATTCTCATTTAATCAACAATGATGATAAGTTTTGTGACCGTCATGCAAAGACCCACTTCAAATGGCCCTTAATTCGTCATAAATCTGAAGATATTAGTACTTCAGGTTCTTTCATTCAACCTGGGTACAAATTCAGTTATGAAACGGACTGTAATGTTAAACAAATCGAATTTACAAAGCCATCAGATTTAATCGCTCTCAATGGTCTAGATGGTCAGACACAAACATTCAATTTTAGTACAGCTTTTAATTTTTCCCAAACCAAGTCTGTCGATCAGGATGCTAGTAATAACTACAAAACAATTTTTACCTACTCCGATCCTGTTACAAATGGTAAGTTGTTTGAATAAAATCCAGCGTACAGACTATTGTAACCAATGGTTGGAGACTCTGGATGACATGGCTCAGAATCGATCACAATGGCGCAGATGTATGCACTATTTGTCTTACCTTAAACCGAGAGATTAAAATTGCTTTATACCGCTCTTTCTACGAAGTGATTCTTTCTCTATGTATCATATCCTCATACTCAATTTTTCTTTCATATTTTACTACCATTGAAGTAACTACTTCTATAAATTTGGTGTTCATCTTGTTGTAGCAACTTGGACTGACGGACATATGTGCCTGGTCATACGCTGACTGACTATTTAATTGACTAAAAAATGCACACATATCGCAGTTTTTTAAACTATCTAAGGTTACTAATCTGAAGTATATTTGTTTAACACTTTCTATTCAGAATCACTTTTTCATTTTGAATAATTAAGATCAGTCAGTAAGTCAGTAACAACGTAGAACGTCGTGCGTACGTACATCAGTTCGAGTTGCCATACCACATTAGCACATAGATGCAGTGGTCGATTCAAATCTCGTAGTGGTAGAGGTAGTAAAAGTATAGGTAGTAATCGGAAAGATTAGGGTTTGAAGATGTTATTCAAGGAGTATAATACAGTGAAATAAATTTGGAAAGAGAAAAAAAAGGGACATGAAGAATTCAAAAGATTAGAATTTGGGAGAACACAAAGAGTGGATGCACCTGCGCCATTGCCAACGATTTTGAGCCATGTCATTTAAGGTCTCTAACCATCGGTTGTTATCGTCTCGCTGATCCCAACCAGGTAGTCTACACCTACCAACATGACTCAGTCCACTTGTCAGTGACTTCATGGACTTGTGCCATGTTTTGGTCTGGCCGCCCCTAGCTTTCTTCCAACCTACTCCTACACCATAAAACATCGTACGTTGGGGCAGTCGGTGGTTGGGCATACGTAACACGTGTCCCAGTCATCTCAACTGATAAAGTTCCAATACTTCATCAGTTGATTCGCCATCCCTACTTAGTATCCGTTTCCTAACAACTGCATTACTTACTCGGTGGTCCCAAGATATACGAGCAATGTTTCAAAGACACCTATGATCGAATACTAGTAACCTAAGAATATCTTCTACTCTTACCGGCCATGTTTCACTGCCATAAATTAGGACGGAACGAACTGCTGCGCAGTAAACACGTCCTTCGGTTGATAGACAGATATCTCGCCTACGCCATAAATGACGCAAGTTGGCACAAGCTAATCGAGCCTTCTGTATCCGTGCTGAGATTTCGTCACACGCCAGGCCACAAAGACTGATGAGACTTCAAAGATTAGTGAAGCGGTCGACACGCTCAACTACTCCACTCCCTATCATTAGTTCGGGTGTCGATGCAACCCAATCCTGAAGTAACATTTTGCATTTCGAGGGGGGAATCGCATGCCGAACGTGTTTGCATTGTTGCTTAGAGTGGTCAGAAGACTCTGCATTTTGTCAGCGTCTTCACCAAATAGAACTATGTCATCGGCATATTCTAAGTCAAAAAGGTCACCTCATAGTTTTATTTACGATTAAATTTGTGATAATCTCCATTGAAAGAGGAGCTATACAAAATAATCAGATTTGTAATTATCAAATCTATTAATCCAGCTACTTTAAGTATTAATACTCTGCACTAGGGTATAGAAATAAATTATACGATTTGAAACGCATGTTGTTTTTTAAATCTCTGCTTGCACTTGTTTATTGACCGTGGTCACTGTAGTACTTTAATCAAACCACAACTTAAGGTGCCAAGACTTGTTTGTTTTGTTATACCTATTTCATGATTGAAGTGTTGAACTATGGTTTAGTTTTCTTTAAATTGATTTTCGTTTTTAAATATTTAAGTTCTGAAATCATGTAGTTTGTTTACTCAAGGTTGAAATTAAATGAATCTATTTCTCTAGTGGGGTAGGGAACTATTTGCGTTTACTTCTTTTTCGATGTGTGCATCAACTATTATTAGTTCTTATATCTTACCAACTATGACGGTTATTCGAAGTTTACCAGTATAAATAGAATAGTTGATATATTTATATAAGATCCTTAATTCGCCTATTGCCTGTCTTCATAATTTGTTCGATAGTTATTTTATTTTTCTCTATACTTAACGAACTTTAACGAGTATTTACTTTTGCCAATAACTTATTGTATAGTGTCATTGAAGTTGCTGAATCTTATAGTTTGCATCACGGACTGACCCTAGTTATTATTTTCATCCATTACAAAACTTCCCAACAGTGCATATCTAAGATCCCATCGGGAACTGAACCCAGGACCTTCAGGTATCACAGTGAACACTTAAAATTTAGATCACTGGATTTGGATTCACTGGTTCATATTTATAACTCTGGTCAATCGATAATGATATACGACCATCATCCATTGCCGTTAGTAATATTTATTACATGCCAAACAAAACTGTACTCCTATAGTCACGGGTTTTCACTATAATTTCTGTTGTCCATCAAGGTCAACCAATAGTAAGTTAAATATGTAAACTATTGAGTAATAGCTGAGGGTTGGTCGGCTTTCACGAGACCTAAATGTTGTGAGTTCAAACCTCGTCGGAATCGTGAATGGGCTCTTCTGATGAATCCAATATTTGTAAGAAACATCTGTCCATTGCTCCCTGGTTTTCAATCCAGTCAGTCAGTCAGTAACAACGTAGAAATTCGTACGTACGTACATCAATTCGAGTTGCCACACCACATTAGCACAGAGAGGCAGTGGTCGATTCAAATCCCGTAGTGGTAGAGGTAATAAAAGTGTAAGCAGTAATCAGGAAAATTAGTGTTTGGAGATGTTATTTAAAGAGTAAGAGAGTATAATCCAGTGAAATAAATTTGGGAATAGAAAAAAAAGAGACAAGGAGGAATAAGGAAATCAAAATTTGGGAGAACACAAAGAGTGGTTTTCAATGGTTATCTAAGGTCAATTTGTGTTTCAAACCACGAAATTTATTATAAATGGCATATACCATTGTAGAGAATTTGCTTTGATTATTATAGAGGAATTGTAAGATATTTTTGGTCATCACTTTATATTCATTTCATCTTTTTTTTGTAATTCTAGTTATAGATTGTCAATTAGACATTTTTGATTTTATGGATACTGGATATTCCAAAAATGTAAACAGTCGATTACATTATTCATTCCTTGTCCTATCAGCTTTATTATTGATTATATTCTTTCCATTCTTGTGTTGGTTTTATGTGAAGGTGGGTTGATTACAGATCTTTTTATATGGTGTATCATAATGCAAACTATTTTCAGTTTACATGAGAACTTTCGTCCTTAGTATTTTTAGTTTAGCTGTTTTCTTGTGTCTTTCATTTTTAAGCGAATTGATCTTCTAAAACTATAAACTTGCTTAACAGTTCTCGGACTTTAATAAATTTTAGAATGATAAGTAAACGTATGAATTTGGTCATTTTGATTCCAAGACCAAAATAGATTTTGTAAATGTGCAGTGATTTTGGGTGGATTTTCAAATTACACCATTTTTTGTGAGATTTGTGTTGAAATAAATCAAATGCTTATTAACAGACCGATCGACCTACTATATTCTATATAAAATTAAAAAATTCGTTTAGATCATAACAAGGTAGGGAAAGAATGTTAGTTTCTCTATACTTAAGTCTGGACTCAGTATCTTAGTGGATAAAACACTAAGCATTTGAAGCGATGTAAGGCACTGAGTTCCAGTCTCATCGTACGTGGTTATTATTAATACTCGGGGTATCAATAAGTTATCGTTCATCATCACTTTTGTTTCCCAGTTCATTAGCTGGTTTACTACAGGCTTTCTAATTTCCTTCCTTTCCAGATAGGTCTTTACATTAGTACTCCTCTTAGATAAATGTAGAGAGGAGTAGTGTTGAGATGATTGTGAATAGATTTGAATTAATCCAACATATAGAAGTCTTTCATCTATATTGTAAATCATATGTCATTTTTGTTGATTGGGTTTTAATTTACCTAAACAGTGCATAGAATAATGAAGAGTCTCCCCTTACACTTGATTATATTTTTCTGAAGTTTTATGATTCGGTATAAACTCGTATGATAAAATAAACTGAAATTAATTTGCTCTAAAAGTACGACGTTTCTTCTGTTATTAGCGTCTTGCGAAAAGTGAACGAATCATTGTATTTCGACTCGGGAAACGAATGAAATCTAAAGGACCTGGTATGTTAAATATAGTTTTTTTTTCAAAGTAATGATTTAAGCCTTATTAGTAAATGTTTGAATTATCCCGTTGTTGGTATTCAAGGCTGAATTTTTTCAACCTCTCTTGGTGTGTATATTCTGATCATATTGCATCGTCACCATTCTTTTGGAAGTGTTGTGGTTAGCAGTGGAATCCAGGACAAATTAACTATATCGAGACGATTCACATAGGATACATGTATGTTAGCAAACGCTAATCAAAATTTAGTCCCGATTATCAACACCGGGCTAAGTCAATCTCTTAATTATATTGATACAAACACCATACGCACCAAATAAGCCGGTGGCTATCTGGGCTCTAGTTCAGTAGATAAAAAATTTCCATTTGAAGTGAAAAGTACATGGTTCGAGTCCCACTGTAAATATCAACACCATGATTTACTACATCCAGCTGGCACGTCATAAATATGACAAAACACACGTCGTTGATTCCAGTGTTAGTCATAGTCCCTCTATTTTATAAAACTAATGATACAAGTGTTAGGGCGATCCAGAAAACTCCCCGAAAAAAATCCAGGAAAGGCTCTGAAAACACTGAAAAGCATCTTATCCAATCAGTGTTCACCAGAAGTTTCGCCAGAAAGATATAGGAAGTGAAAAGTCACATGTCGAGTTTCTGATTGGATGATTACTTATACTGCTACTATGTTTAATAGCGTTCTAGAATTTTCAGGAAACTCAAGGACATCTAAAATACTATAAAAACCAGATTTTCTGCATATAAGCAAACCTTTAAAGTAAAGCGTTTCTTCCATATTTTTCTCCTCTTAACTCGTGTTCAAGTCGCTGTGTAGATTTAGCCTGGAGGTTAATAGAAGAGCTTAGGAACCTAATCTAGCATTCAATTAGGTTTATCAATAAGTAAAAGAGAATTCAGCGAAGAAAATTTTCTTTTCGACGAAATCATTTACTTAAGCTGTACATTCGTATATATAGTTATATGGGTTCCATTAATTAGAAAAAGGAACTTAATTCATTCTTTATCCTCAAGGATCAGGCGAATTTGTTCCAACGACACAATAGATGGGGAACTATTTTATCTTCGACAGACCCTCATCAAAAACGGTTATCCACCGAGATTCATCGATAGAAACTTGGTACCTAGACCCCATGATAAAGCATTGACAGTAGAGAAAAAAACTATTTATGAATATGGAATTTAAGGGAGATACAGCTGCTGAAATCCTAAATAAACGGATTTCGAAATCAATGAATAAAACATTCCACGCAGCTAAACTTCGAATCATCTTCTCTAGCCGACCTACCATTCTGGGGTGTGTAAAGGACAAACTTTCGCTTTGGGCCACTTCAATGTGTATCTATAAATTTACTTGCTCATGTGGGGCATGTTACATAGGCCGCACAAAGCGATCATTATCCAAACGCATCTCGGAACATTATCCGGCTTGGCTTTTGAAAGGGGAGCGAAAAACAATCACGAGTTCTATTCAGGAGCACTTAATCAACTGTGGACATATCGCTCCAAAAGACTCTTCGTTTAAAATAGTTTACAGAGTCAAAGGAACTGGATCGATGTGGGTTCGAATCAATATTTTATGCACCGCAGAGGCATTGGCAATCCACAAACTAAAGCCTGAACTTTGCGTGCAGAAACGATTTGTCCAACCTCTTATCCTTCCTAGGCCTTAATGGGTATGTTGCTAGGTGGTTTTTTTTTTTAAAATACACTTTTATTGTTATCCATATTTTAAATTACTATTTTGCACTTTAAACTCTAATCATTTATTATTATTACCTTTTACAAGTTTTCTTGATTATCATTCAGTTTATTATTATGACCTTTGTTGTTTTGTCGTTTTTCTTCATATCTGTCAATCTGTCAATTGGACTATTATCTGACCCTTAAATTTTGTTCTTCCTTACCCCTTGATTAGTACGTTAACCTCATTTGTTATTTATTGTCGAATCCATTTTTTGTGATACAATCCTTTCTATCCTTCTATAGACATACATTTTCCATATAACTATATATACGAATGTACAGCTTAAGTAAATGATTTCGTCGAAAAGAAAATTTTCTTCGCTGAATTCTCTTTTTCTTATTCTATGACACTATGGGTTATTTTAATTATTATCAATAAGTGTTTTAAACAATTTGTAGTCATCATACTCTTATCAAATAGCATAGTCGGCTAATCAAATCTATTCATACTTAATTTAAGTACAGTTCAATTGACTATTTTTTATTAGGATGTATCAACCTAGTTAGCAGGTTGAAGTGTATGTGAACAGTCTCATTTCTATCAATCACTCGATTATAGTGTAATAGATAAATCCTAATTATCTGTCACGTCTCGTAGTCTGATCGCTAAAGAGCTGTGGTTGTCTATTTAGTTGTAACTGGAGGTAGTGGTGTAATAACTGAGATTTTCCAAACTCAACTATCACTCCTACATCAAATAATAATGAGTATTTACTGATTTTAATTAAAGTGAACTGTGAATTCATATTCATTTAATTAAAAAGACAATTAAAGCGAGGAAATTTATTGTTAGTCAGTTTCTCACCATGGCTCTACATTTATATGTTTATCATATGTACGTCAAATAATTAGCACAAGTAAACAAGTTTAATTGTGCTAATCTCATCTCATTTGGGGGAAATGTGATTATATATGAGACACGTTTTGTGCATATTGATGCGTTTGTGGACAAATTTGAATAAATGTGATCATCAAAGTTTAGTCTGCACTTGTATTGGCGGTTTGATCTCAACTAAGTGATATAATAAGGGATTTAAAAGGTTTGTAATAGTTAAAGTGAATGAATAGAATGCAATGATACAATATGGCAGAGCTGTGGATACTGATGGAACAGAACTATCGATGTAAGTCTCCAACTATAAAGTTGTTAGGCGGTCAGACAATTGTCCAGCAGAAGAGGTATTATCGTCTAAAAAATTAACTGGTTTGTGTATAAAAGATGAAACTAAAAAAATAGAAATCGCTTAACACCTAAATGAACTTAGCACATGAAAACTGTAAGTCATTCAATCTCCATTGAAATTAATGTCTAGCTATCAGACTTAATTCTTACTGTAATATCATTTGATTAAATGTAACTGTGAAATATACGATACAATTCGGTCAGATAATCAGTAGCTCTTTCTTTTTTTTTGAACGCACTAGTACTAAGCAATGCATAAAAGTTGCTCACATTTCCTTTTAGTTAAAAAAAATTTTTTTCGGATTATCTGAATATTTCTCTTTATATCGATTTGATGGTGAGTATGATAAGTACTGCTGTTGTTGATTTAATTTTTGTAGATTCTTAACTTATTTGAAATTATGTGTGGGCGAGGATGATAATGATTGGTTGTTTGCTTAGTCAGACTAGTAGATAGTCTGACAGGCGATAAATGAGTTCTATATTCTCCTATCCTTATTATTATCATTGATTGTTGTTGGATTGTTGTCGGTTTTTAGTGTGGAAATATATTTACCTTCTAGTCAGGCTAATCACATGTTCTTGATCTGAGTTGTGTTGATGTTCTGTAGAACAGACACTGGGAAGGAATTTAGTTTAGATATCCCATTCGTAAATACGAGGGAACTCCGATCGTTATAACAAATCATCATGTCAAATCTGGATAATGATGCTTTATTTAAATAATTTAATCATGTTTAGATATTTCTTCGCAGAACGTTTTATCGAAAATCGCTCATGTGAATGTAAAATACTTCTCTTAAATCGGAGAACTACTAAAAACCTATGATTTCAATAAATATGGACACTTTCTAGTATAAGTTTGTAGAGATTGTCGAACTTCATTAAAATCATGAACCGATCAATGTTAGACCTCTATTGAAAACCTGGAAACACTGGGCGGCCGTTTTGTCCCAATATGGATCTCCTCCTCAGCATTCATCTTCGATCCCATGACCAGTGGAGTTCAACAGAGTCGGTTGTGAGGCAGTTACCTACCGAAACCAATGGGGGATAGTTGCGTAATATCGTGGATTGGTTAATGATAGACGTTAACACCGTTGGATGCTCGTTCAGTGGTTTGTAGGTTAAGCGTTCGTGTGAGACCGAAATTCCTAAGTTTGAGTCCCGCATGTGGTTCCCTGGATGCGTATCGATGAGGAATCCCACACTAGGACGAAACGACCGTCTAGTGCCTCCAGGTTTTGAATAGTATTCTGACATTGATCGTTTCACGATTTCAATGAAATACAGATGAGCAAAACTGGACATTTTTAATATTATTCATTTAACTACTAAATCTGGTTAAGTAGTCACGTTTTTATCATGAAATATTGTATCGACTGCTTATGAGATTCGGCATAATGAATTTGTGAATCAAGACATTTAAATACAAGAAGTACTGGGTAATTCTTCTATGCATGATTGTTTTTGCGACATTTATTGTTTAAATGTATATTTTATTGTCGAGAGGAGTGCTAATTTACGATGAAAAACTCAGTCGTTTTCATAGGGTTAATAAATATTTTCATTATCATACATTATAATGTTTCTCAACAAATATTTTAGGGATGGAATGCCAGCCTAACGACGTGTATAGATATAAAGTGACCTAAAATATGTGTGATAAAATCACTTCAATTGTTATTAAAACACACGGACACATCGAAATCTTGTGGATTATTTGCTTCACTTCAAAATTTCTACAAGTACTGCCCATTCCGTTTAAGGTGCAAGTATTTTTATTTGTTGCATTTGCATATTCTCCTTATTACTATAAAGTTTTCACGTTGTTTTAATCGTAGGACAACGTTACTGCTGCGGTAACCATGATGTAGAACTAACCTAAAACATCAAATTATTCATTAGTCATAGTGTTTTGCATCTCATGAATTCGCTGTAGTATCTCTGTCTATCTTGATTCGTTCTATCTAAAGACATATTTTCTGTCTTTTAAAAAATCAGTAAAATGACACTGCATAAATCGCACACTTTAATGCATTTACTGAATAATTTAATTCTTAAGTTGTAAAGAACGTTCAAAAACTATAAAACCGTTGTTGATGGATCTAAATAGTTTGTGAAACTTTCATAATAAAAAACGCTAGTGTTCCATTCAATCCGATTATTTAATTTCAATTTCACTATCTATCTAGGTCATATCAACACAAGCTTCAGATAAATGTGAGCTATTCAAATTCCTCCATATTTGACTAGCAAGCAGCCTGATTTGTCGACCCTGAATTTGATTGCCTTTGATGTCACGTCCTGTCATTATCTACGTGTTTATTTTGATTGTCTCCTTCCTCGACCTAATTCTTGTAATTACGGTTGTTTATGGTTTTTTCCAACAGGCTGGTAAATTAAGTCTATCTCCTTATATTGACCACTAACTGTCCTAAATGCTAAGCTATTAGGAATGTCCTGATCTTCATCGTTTGTCCAAAATCTCAGTGTTTTCACTGTCAAACATTTTTGTGTGTGTTCTTTACATTACTTAAACATTTTATTTCCCTTATTGATTTTCCTTTTATTAAGCCGTTCTAAAATATGACGACTTGATAAGATTATCCGCTCTATCCTTTAAACTATTTATTCTTCTTAATTAACTTTCTTACTAAGTTATAACCCAGTAGTTTATGTGACTCGGCATTCAATGACCTGACCATTTATCTTTTCTCATTTCTGATTTTGTCAGAGTACTAGTATTTATGATGCTGCATCAAGTAGACGCAAAATCATAGAAACTAACAGTTTAATTCGATTCGCTTGATGTTATTGCATCCCGTGAACTGTATGATTTTATTATAAAGCTTCCACTGTGGTGCTACGTACTGCTTATATCTGATTTTTCGTTCGCTACACCATTATCGTTCTAGACAATATTATCAGCGCCTACTTCAAACAAATAGTGGCCTCTTCCGAATTGCTCCACAAGTACGAAATAGTTTTATTTTCATAACCTGGTATATGACTGACTTTCTCATAGATTTATTTTAATCCTAATATGCTTTTTCATTCTTGTTTACTATTGCGTTCGGTTAACTTTCGACTGATTGATTGACTGGCTTCTCCCTTACGGATGAACAAATTGGGTTTCCGTTGGTTTAATTGTAAATTGAGCCGAATTTCATGCTTCTAACAATCTTGGCATTGTCTTATTTCAGAAAAATAGCATTTTCCCGATCAAATATTGTATCAATAGTTGATTGCTTGTATTTTTATGAGTGATAGCGTATGTTCCTTTTTTCCTACTGTATATGAAGGTGATATCCACTACGTTTGATATAGTGTTTTCTCGTGTTTGTTTCTTTCAGTCTATGCAATGCATTTGGTCGTATTGCTTTATTCTCACGTACTGGCAAATTTTACATAAATTCATAGCTTTAATCTGACAAATTATCTTGTCGTTATCATTACTTTTAATTCTTTTCCCTCCAGGTTGGGTATTTCTGTTGCCTATATGTGATCGTTACCACTTAATTACTCTCGATGATCAACTAGTAAAAATTAAACCTGTATCTGTGAGTGACTATTCGTTTTATAGATGTTTTAAAAAAAAGTATTTGTCGTGTTTATGGTACTTGAACGCTGTGATACTGGCTTTCTAACCGCTTACAAATTGCTTAGTAATTTAAGTACAAAAACAACGATATTTATTGGTTTATAGTTGACTTTGATATTATATGGGGCTCTAAAAACATTCTAAGATTGGTAACAAAGTCGATAATCATCCAACCAAGATTATGGTGTATAATACGTTTGATCCCCCATCTGGCAACCAACCAAAATGAAGCGGGAATTGTCATTTACATTGTCGTTATCCATACTGGAGGGTGTATTTCGTTCTCTACCATTTTCACTGGCTTACAGGGAAAATATAAAGTTTTCTACCACGAAAATCCACTCCATCATGCTACTGGCGTGTTAAGTGTAGTGAACTTACTCATGATGATAGAAAAGTTACAAAACACCAAAAGTTATGTCTCCAATTAATTATATAATAGAGATTACTCAAAAATATCTACGATGGAGTGATCAACTAGACGAAAACATAACCGTAACTAATGACTACGGCGCTCTTAGATGACTTGACAACTTGGAGTTTATCCCAAAACTCTTCCAATAGTTTATCAATTATGCATAATTTTTTTTAACACAATTTAATCTAATTACACATTTTTCATTTTTGTTTGTTAGTTAAATCTGAAACAAATCTCATATCGTTACTGTTGTTAGATCTAAAAACTTTATTAAAAACTAGTCTTTTTTCAAATTTCAGGCTTATTTGTTAAAATTAAATTCTATATTATTTCAATGGTTAAGATCATGAGTCAGTTGAAGCTAGACCACCATGGAAAACCTGGAAGCACTGGACGGCCGTTTCATCCTGTTGTGGGACTCCTCAGCAGTTCGCATCCACGGCCTCACCCCCTGCGAGATTCGAACCCAGGACCTACTGGTTCCGCTTGCGAGCACTTAACCACTAGACCATTGAGTCGGCATCCAATGGTGTTAATGTCTAACTTCAACTATATTATTGTTGCGTTTTCGTAAACAAGAATTTAAGCAAGCACAGTCATAAATAAATGAGCAAGTGTTGTTCTGATTCATACAACTTTTAATGTTTATTTTTTGATTGTACAACTGACTCAAACATTTTCCTTTTTTTTTAGTTTGGTTAAATACATATAATGAATAAAGTCAACATTGTAATCAATGGTATTTATGTATACTGTTTTACTATTTCATTTATACTTTAATAATTTACAATACAAAGTAATCCTAGTTAGATAATCATTGAAAATCAGGAAGAATTAAATATCTGTTTCGTACCAGTCCCTATCCACTACTTCACGCTGTCTTAAACTCAGGAACCCAGTTTTCAATAGATATCTAACTAAAGTGAATTCAGGATGTAAACTATAAAATTCAACAATCGTCATATATTAACTAGAATATTCTATTGAGTCAGATTCTTTAATGTAATGTGAATCATTATTTTGAAAAGTCCAACACCATGACGTAACAGTAAATATATAGATAAGTTGGTAAAATATCGCAGTATATTTATTCAAAACTTCAAATGACACAGGATTAGTTTTCCAATATATATTACCGAAAAACTAAATAGTTTACTAAAGTGACCAAAAACAATTCTAAAATGACTTAAGTTGTCACACAATAATTGACGACTAAGAATAATAATATTCATTTAAATGGATTGTGGAGATTAGTTTAATGCCTTAATCACGAATAGTTAACTGTTGAGAAACTAATAAAAACGAGGAAGTACCGGTTAGTCGTTTGGGACTCCTCAATATTGCACACTGACTACCTTGCAAAGACTGGTAGAAAACTAGGAATTTCAAGTTTGGCTGTGAGACTGTTGTCTTTAAGTCGCTGAGTTATAGCTTAGTAGTTTCCAGATAGCAAATCTTCATTCCTTAAAAAATTAAGAGTGACAGTAATTAACACATCTATTAGCACTTTCCCATCTGGTAACGATTTCGAAAAAAACGAACAAATTTCAAAGGGATAAATTTGCTAATGAATGGGTATAATACATGCCGAACTAAACACTTATGTGAACTGTAGGTGCCATTACTAAGGTTTGACTTGGTAATTTCAAGTAAATTGAGCATTGGGTAGATTTTTATAAATAAAAATAATATATTTGTAATATCCCAATGAGCAGAAAATTAGATTTTTTGGCGTTTCGTGACTCAGTGTAAGCCCTTTTCTTCAGAGAATAAATAACCAAATCAAAATTAATCCAAGTTTAAATAGTATAAAGAAACAAAAAACAGGTCTGAGTACATCAGTGTTATATCATTTCAGTTTACGTTATTTATAAGCGACATGTATGTAAATTTGTGTGTGTTCGCAGGGTCAAGGATGAAAAATGTGACCTTAGAGGTGAGAAAGGATAGAGTTTAGTTTGTATGTACGATAATAGTGCGAAATGTGAATAATATCAGACATAGTAGCTTGGATAGATAGATAGATAGTCCAAGTCGGATAGTGAGTTAGGTAGTGAGGCCTTCTTTTCTATTGAGAGCGGTAGGATTAAGCATCATGTGGAAAGCTTCAACTACTCTCCCTTCTTTGTTGTTGGAAAAGCCTTTTTGTAATATTTTGGTGTTTTTGATACCGATTCGGTGGTTGTTAAAAATGGCATGAAGTGCTTTTGCCGATTTCCAGTCCTATGGGATTATTATGTAATTTTTGTGTACCTAATATATTCTTTGGCTCGAATTAAGATTTCTCGAGATGACTCTCCAATATAGAAGGCATCACAATCGACACATCCTAATTTGTAGACACGGTTCTCTGTTGACATAAAGGGTCAAAGAACTCACTTAGTAAATGTCTTATATTTGTAATTTTACTTTGGAAAGTTGCATTTCTTTTTTTCGCGCCAAAAGCACTCATTTCTACCTTCATGTAACTTTTCCTACTTGACAGGACCTTAAATGTCATTGGTTCATGGCCTCTTTTAATATGCTGTTTTGTAGCGCTTCCGAACGATATTTTTTGCTATACAAATACGCTTAAGTTGCGCTGGTTGTTGTTGTCCGTGCTTCTGGTTGCTTGGAGCACACTTTCACTCTTCTGAACGTGCGCTTCTCTCTCTAGTTAACGGGTTTGGGACGCATCGGAGTAGTTAGCTTATCTGGTCATTGTGTCGCCGAGTCTTCGTTTCGTTTGCATGTTTAGGTGACCACGTAATCTCTTCAAACATACCACTTCTGCCCTGCGAATTTATCACGTGACTTATCGCCGATTAGAACACTGACGTATTGAACAGGCCAGTGACTCATAAATCAGTACGAACAGCCCAGAGTCACTCCGATTTCTTATTGGACCTCCGAGTTAGTAACTTCTCTCCTAACCCATCTGGTTCAGTCCAGAACACCATTATCAGCCTCCGTTATACGAATCATGTATTTCAGATATATGTGGTTTACATACAAACAAACCAGACCGCATCATACCATGAAACAGAAAATAACAATTATATAAGATCAAACCAAAATTTGACTGTGATTGTGAGAGATTGTAACTAACAAATTAGGAATATCTTAAGGATAGTAAGTCGCATAATAATAGTCAATAGATCAAACGGATGCTTATAATAAAAGGAATATGAATATATGTGTAATATTTTATACGAATATTCGTCAAGATTAGAACCCATAGTTACTTAATGTTTATACAATAAATCCTAGTAGTTACTATTCACTTATTCTTCGTCCTGATATCACAGTATCCCCTATGAATTTCAAAAAATAAAATTTAACCTTCTTGATCATAGTGTCAGTTTGATAGAGTTGTTCAGTGGTTCAATCTGGTTAATTCAATTAACTTTTTGGGATTTCTTCAAATTTTTACATGAAAATGGTCAGAATCTCGCAGTGTTAAATCAATAACTTCAGTGTTGTTATGTTTTACACTATTAAAAAATTGTGATCATTATCTATACTTTATTGATCATGAGAAACTAAGCTCATCAAAACTATTATTTTCATCTTTGAACTTAACCTTTGTTATTCTTTATTTTTTTTAAAAAAACAACTTTATTTACCTTTCAGGGTGGTACAAAAGATGAAGCTGTTGTAGAAGTGACATGTTCAATAGTATTTTATTTATTAGAATCAGATTATGCATTTAGTATAACTAACAAAAGCCCTTTGGATATTGTTACTACACAAACTCAATTGTGTTTATTATCAGCATTAACTCATTTAGAATGGTATTATTTAGAACAAGGTAATGCAAAAATTGACTTGGCTAATGAAACAAAAGTAAGATTTCAAACTTATTATATATAATTTATTCATATTAAATTATTGTTCGTTTTATTTCTAACAATCATTAACTGTGTAATTCAGTATTCATGTTTCAGACAATGATTGTACATACTCATTGTTTGTTTTAAAAATACTTTAATACTCATAACTTAAAATCATCTTTCAATTTGTCCGCCCGGGCAGTATTTCAGCTTTTACACAAACTGAATGATAAAGTGTGGCGCATGTATATTTGATGCCTCCTTTTACCAATGCTTATGTTTTTAAACAAATACGTTGCTCAAAATAAAGAAAAGAATTGATTTATGACAAATAAGTCTTGTTCAATAAATATTATTTATATATTGAAGTTTGAATTGAAAAGAATTTGTTGAACTCATTCTGATTGGAAACATTGTTGAAGTAGGTTTATACATCATAAAATACGAAATATAGTTCATGCCTTGGTAATAATGTCTAGTTTTTTGGAAGTTCGGAAATAATACTTAGCTTACAATTCAATTGAAAGTAGAGTCGAACACTAATGACACACTTATGAAACGCTGAATTTGGTAATAGGTTACAACTATTATCTGATACTTATTTCCACAAACCTTTTATGCTAATAATAATCATTTGCTCATTAGTTACTTATTTTCAGGTATGAGAAATATCACTAATGGCATTGGAAGATAGTTGCTCAATATAATCAATTGATTGAAGTTAGAGACATAAGCCACTTGATATAGTAATTCTAAGATTAGTATTTCACTGCAAGGTCTTGGGTAAGATTCCTGATTGGTTGTGAAAAGGCACTATTGAAGAGTCTCATACTAGGATGTGTTAGGATAGTCGGAAAAATATACCAATAATTATCGTGTTAAGTCTACGGTGGCCTTGGACCTTAAATGTACATTTCCCATTGGTCGATGTTTGTTTCACTTGCTAAATATTGTGTAAATGTTGTTTTCTATTTTATGGTACGATGTGGTTTGTCTGTTTGGTATATAAATGGAGTATGTCTGAAATACAATGATTCATATCTCAGAGGCTGTGACTTGCTTTCTTGACTCAACTGGCTAGGACAGACAGCGAAGCAGGGCCAATCAGGGCACTAGGTCGTCCGCTACGTGTTTTGCGTGTCCACTGTAATCGGTCGATAAATACGCTGCTATACCAAAACCTGCAGTTACACACGTTACAACAGGATGAAACAGATGTTCATTGCTTTGTAGTTATCAATGGTTATCCTGTAGTTGCTTAACTGCGTTAATCAATCACCTTGATAACCGTTATTATATAAATCCCAACTGTGTTTGAAGTCAGAAGGCAACAAGAAGCGGAGATTACAGTTTATTAGCGAATAGCTCAGATAACAAAGCTACAAACACATCGAGTGAACTTCAAACAGAGAGGCGAATATGTGTGTGCAAGCGAATACAGAGGTAAATTTATAGTCAAACCAAATCAAGGTGCAGTTAGGCAAGGTAAAGGCCAATAATAGGATTCGAGTATATATACATGGGGAAAAATGATTCATCGAGTGATATCTAAGCTATCAACATTTAAGCTAGTGAGAGAGATATGCGTAGGTTGTCATGTGATCAAGCGTACACATTTATGCATACAAGATAGTGATCATAATAGTACAAAGACTTAAACGAGTTGTTACTGTTCGAGTAACCATAATCGAAATCGATTGCAGGAGAGCTGCTATAGTCCAATTAACGGTTGTTCATGATGCAACCTATGCGATTCAATAATATCCACAATTCCATTACACTAATCATGACATTATTCCCTTATTTTTTATATCATCATCCTTTTTAAATTAATGAATTAATAATTAATCTCATTTGCTTATCAAGTACATGTTTCATGTATTCAGCTTTAAGTCATGCTGCTTATGCGTAAACTTATCATAATACCTGGCTACCAAAACCAAATTATGTGGAACTGGATTCGATTCTACCTTTAAAAATGATAAACTCTTCAATTGTTAAACCCCTATCCACAATGTTTAGTTCTTTTTACAGTACAATTACATGGCTCAAAATCATTTGCAATGGCGCAGGTGCATCCACCTTTTGTGTTCTCCCAAATTCTAATCTTCTGAATTCTTCATGTCCCTTTCTTTTTTCTCTTTCCAAATTTATTTCACTGGATTATATTCTTTAAATAACATCTCCAAACCCTAATCTTCCCGATTACCGCTTATACTCTTACTACCTCTACCACTACGGGATTTGAATCGACAACTGCATCTCTGTGCTAATGCGGTATGGCAACTTGAACTGATGTACGTATGCAGGAAGTTCTACGTTGTTACTGACTGACTGACAGTTACAATAACATGAAAAAATTATTAAAATATTGATATATATTTCTAAATTCCTATTAAATGTGTTCGATGACTAGTGATTGTTGGTTGTCCAATTTATTTATTATCATTGTTACTAGGGCACATTAAATTCTCGTTGTGGTCCATACGGCATTCATGTGAAAGAAGTTACTATGTAAGTTTATTTATGCCCGTGTCTGATTTTACTGTTTGTTCTACATAATTCATATTAAAACCATGAGACAGAATATTCATATTAAAGTCTTATATATATATATATATATATATATATATATATATATATATATATATATATATATATATATATATATATATATATATATAGAGAGAGAGAGAGAGAGAGAGAGAGACATTAGCCATTATTATGTATGTTTCATTCTTAAGAAATGTAAGTCACTTCTTGGAAAATCATGGATGATTTCTAGCTAACCTGGTGTATCACATTTCTCTCTTGAAAATAGGTTTGACTTTTCAGATTCAGCTAAAGGTGTTGACTTGGGGACATATAATGTTTATTGTAAGTGTTTGAGAAATGTTTCACAAATGTATTTATTTTTATCCAGCTAGCCATAAACTATTATGTCATGTATTTTCTTAACGTTGAATTTTTAAAAACATATTTTGAAATGTCGCTCAGAACGAACTATGTCATGTAGACACAATAGTTGTAAATTATTTGTCGAAATATTTGAACTGGATTTCTACCCCCCCCCCCAAAAAAAAGAACAAATTATATTTTTTTTGCTTTACAAAACTTCAAGAATGTTAATAATAAAAATTCAGCAAATCAACTCTTTTAATTGGTTGTACAATATATTATTCATTATCGTGATATGTTAATGTGATCATTTCCTGGAAGTCTTTCCTGTTGTTCTAGTTATAAGCCATAACCAGCGGCGTTTAACTCTGCTGGATGCTAGGCATTTACCCACCAATCACATCGGAAGTTAGTTGCTCGGCACTCCGAATTGATTAAAATTGGAGATGTAAATCATTAAATCCTAACTCAGTAATCTAAGGAGTGAGTACTGACTGCGTTACCTAAATCCTGAATCGAATTCTTGGCAGGGTCATCAACGCGTACTTGTGAGGATTCACATACTGTTCAGTGCTTCGTAGTTTTCGATGGTTTTTTTTTAAAACTGTGATCAGTTCATGATGTAAACTACGAGATTCAAAAGTATCCACGGTCCACTCATCAGTCCCACTTACTTGTTTGTATTCTAATGTTTATTTATAGGGTTTTTTCTTAAACAATATTAAAGGTCATTAAATATTTAGTAAACATTTCTTATTACTTGTGTAGAGTAACAATAATCTGTTCTACACTTTAATTTCTACTATTATTCATTGTTTCCAGTGATGGTTTAGTTCTACTCCGTCCGCCACCATCGCATAATTCCAAGTCAAATATTGAACTGGTTACTAAACACTTGCATCAATTATCATGTGTATTGCTGAATAGTCGAGGTGATAAACCGCTAATAAAACCACCCACTAGTCAATCGAATGTAGAACAACAAATAATCAATTTGTCTAATGGTTCCGAACAAGCTAATTCAACATCAATGTCATGTGATACCACCGACATAATATCAGACTCAGAAATAACAACTACCACAATAACTAATGAATCTAGTTCTGTTGAAACTACACCACTATTAAATAAAGTACAAAAACAGTATAGTTTTAAGTCTTTAAATACTCTGTCACAATTACGCATTTCACATAATTATCCTGCTTTATCGAAAGCAATAACACGTGCTCAAGGTCTACTTAATAGTAATATCGCTTGTCAAGCTCTTGATTGTGCATCATTACAATTAGTTATATCAATGGAGAACAAATTTGTCAAAGATCATTTACCATTATTGAATTCAGTGGAAAATCGAAATTTTATTCTACTTTATTTGGATGCTGGTACTGGTATGTTTCTGTTTTCATAATATTTTCATTTCTTTTTCTTATGCAAGTGATTTCGGTCACGATTTTCAAGCTTTACAACTATGTATCTTGAGTTAATATTGTTCACCTAAACATAAAATGTGTGACTTGGGTAAAAATGTAGTTAGAAAGAGTTTTGTGTTTAAACTTAAAGCATGTAATCGAATCATACAGTTTTAATTGTATGTTAACAGGATAGGATCCTAGCTTTTCGTGCTCTTATCAAACTCAAAACGAGGTATGCTAACTCCTCTATTTTCAACGTATCAGGGGTATTTAGAGAATCGGGAAAATAGTAGAGGAGTCTTACTTAAATTCTGTGTGAACTCTAGTGTTTCCACTAAAGTATTTTAGTTGTTCAGGTTATTCGTTTGTACCATGTTCCCTCTCAATTTTCCTCCCATAATCGAATGAGGTGTATTAGACAGAAATATAAACCTAATAATGTGATTAAACTAACCAGTTAAAAAAGTGCTTTTCTATTTTGAATCAGAAAATAACAGCTCAAACCATTTTTTAACATTGACTCATATTTATTTTCTAAAATGAAATTACTTTCAACTTATCGGTATTGATGTAACTCATTTGTCAAGTACTGATTCGTGTACTCTTGGGATTTTGAGCAGTGGATGGTTAGCGATACAACCGCTCTACTCAAACCGAAGTAAACGGAGCTGGACTCAAATCCGTGAACTATTGGTTGAAAGTTGAACCTCCTGACCGTTAAGCTACCAATTCTATTCCTGGTAAGCTAAGTTATTAAATCTCTTTTGGTCGGCAACTTTCTTTAAAGAATTCTTCACACTTTTAAGGTGATAAATAGAGGTTATTGCCTTCAAGGACGGCCTTTTTTCCACTAATTAATAGTCGCTTATTCACTAGACTTAATAATGAATATTTCATTTGTATTGATTGTTTGGATCTTTCGATTGATGTTTAGAACTTAAATTAGTCAGTCTCTTTTCAGCATATGTGGATCATTTGCGACCTGGATTACACTGATAACCACCATCCATATTGATGAATAATTTAACAAAATGTTTTATTTTACACTGGTAAAAAATTATAGAAAATGATCCTTGTAGTCTACGCAGTGATATATACTGCTTTACTGAGTCTGCGTGTAAAGCTAGTCAATCTGCCATCGACTTAGACTTATGTTAGACTACGTTATAGCCCTTTGTGACTTCACGTTGTTCTCAAAACCTAGTATAGTAACGCGGATATGAATAAACATCAAGCCATAAAACAGGTGAAAGGTAAGATGTCTGACATGTTTTGTACGATTAAAACGGAGGTAGCAAGATTGCCAAACGCAACAACAAATGCAGGAGAAGACGAACAGTGTGGCAGCAGCCTCAGCAGCAGTAGGTCTCAATATACACAAAGGGAAAAGCAGGATTCTCCGATAAAACACAGAATGCACCAATCCAATCAAAATTGACGGAGAAGATTTGGAAGATGTAAAAACCTTTACGTATTTGGGCAGCATCATTGATGAACATGGTGGGCCTGATGCAGATGTGAAAGCGCGGATCGGTAAAGCAAGAGCAGCATATTTACAACTGAAGAACATCTGGAACTCAAAGCAACTGTCAACCAACACCAAGGTCAGGATTTTCAATACAAATGTCAAGATAGTTCTACTGTATGGGGCGGTAACCTGGAGAACTACGAAAGCCATCAACCAGAAAATAAAGGTGTTTATTAACAGTTATCTACGCAAAATACTTCGGATCCGTTGGCCGGACACTATTAGCAACGACGTACTGTGGGAGAGAACAAACCAGATCCCAGCGGAGGATGAAATCAGGAAGAAGCGCTGGAAGTGGATAGGACACACATTGAGGAAAGCACCCAACTGCGTCACAAGACAAGCCCTCACATGGAATCCTCAAGGCGAAAGGAAAATAGGAAGACCAAAAAACACATTACGCCGAGAAATGGAAATAGACATGAGAAAAATGAACAAGAATAGGATGGAACTAGAAAAGAAGGCCCAGGACAGTGTGGGTTGGAGAATGCTGGTTGGCGGCCTATGCTCCATTGGGAGTAACAGGCGGAAGTAAGTAAGTAAGTAAGCAAGATTGCCACAAGCAGGAAATAATTCGAAGATGATAAAAATGTCGAGGCAATCCACACAGTCTGAGAATATAGCAATAAGAGACTGGTCAATTGCAGTCGTGTACATCAATGGAAAGATTTAAACAACCAATACAAATAAATAGAATTATTATCCGCCAAAAGTTTGTAAAAAAAGTCTTTTTATGATCTGAATTTGCATGTTCACCGAACAGATTGTGGATAATCTTGCAAATTCAATCTTAAGTTATTTCGTCATGAATATTTTTTACTCTATTCCTGGTTTGTTAATTTTCTCTTTTTCTTTAAATAATCTGCTGTTTTAAACAGGAACTGTCGGTTCAGGTTGTCTACCAGTTGATAAACAACCAGCAAATGTTACACTTTTCATACATATTGACGATTTAACCGATGTGGTAGAAGGTCGTTTAGATGTAATAAACGCAATAAAATCTGACAAAGCTTTCATGACCGGTTCATTATCAGTGTTATCAAAAATGCGTCATTTACTTTATCTGCCTCCAGTTTAAGAATATGATAAGCATTAGTTACTATTAGGTCAAATGATTGTGCATTTCTTTTTCGATCAACATTTACCCTGACCAAATTTTTTTTCTCTTAGTCGTTTTAAATTAGTCAACCTTGTTTTTTTTCCTTTTTTTAAAAAAAAAATTCGAATCATGTGTTTGTTATTTATTGTCTTAGTTCGAACCCGACATTATTTTACTTCATATTGATTCATATTCATTTGTTCTTTATTGTCCTTATTTCATCTCAAAAAAAAGCAAAACATTGTACTTTTTCTTAGGTCTCACACCTAAATGGAATGCATTATGTTATTGGGTGTTTTATTTCGTTTCAGTAGTCAAAACGCATTTCAATCATGAACATTTTCATCATTTATTAATTGCTTATTCTAGTTCGGCAATTTTTATGCGAATAATATACATATATATGTATTTTAATATGATTTTACATATAAGCTGATCTCTCGTTATTATAGTTATCTTTGTTGGCATTATTGAATTTCATTACAATAATAAACTTATATGATTAATTAACAAGTTTATATATTTTTATGCTCTAACTAAAGTAGTAATATCTGTTAGGCCAGTCGTAATCAGTTTTAGTGCCTAAAACAGAGATGACTTGATTTTGAATTACACAAACTGTATAATTAATTAATTAAAATTAGTAGTCTATAACAAAATGAGAGGTTAGACGTATCGTTTTTGTATACAAATGTTGCGTTGGGATTAGTGGATATTTCAGACCTCTGTTGTACGGAAGTTTTTAATTTGTATTCCTTCTGAATCAGTTCTTCTGACTGTATGATTGATTTTGAAGGAGAATTTTGGTAAATCATAGTGACCAGAATTAAATAAGTATTCTAGAATAGAGCTTTGTAGTCCTTTAGATAGCCGGGCAAATTAATATTCAGAGATGCACTTCGAAAGATCTCGCTTTGTGTGGCCTATATGACCTGCTCCATTGCAACGATTAAACTGATTGTTTGATTAAACTGAGATAGTACATTATTCAGTAACTGGATATTAAACAAATATACTACTGTATACTCTTCATTTGTTGACTAAAATTCTCCTTCAAGATATATAATGTATCAAAATTCTGAAACAACAAATTGATCAACAGAATTCAGTTACCACTAAGATAGAGACAACAGTATGTCAATGATTATCAGTGATTCTAGTTCATACAAATTGAAGTGCTATCATTGTTGTGTTGTATTTATTTACGTTTGTGTTCTGTTGAATTTTATTTAATCATATGATCTTCCAATTAAACAGTACCATGCTGTGATTTATTTAAAATAAATGACATTTTCACTGATTATTTATAATATGGTAAGATACCGTCACGGTGGGTTGATAAAAAAAATTATTAACCTTCTTTATTTTACACTGTTGAAACCAACAAAATACAAATACTGTTGTTGGGGAGAACCTTATTCAAATAGCTTCATTTTATGTAAAAAAAACAACAACTGATGGCTTTAAACTAAGTATGGTAGGACTTGTATAAAGCAATTATTTATTTTTATAGGCTATAAGACTATTTACCACCAGAAAAATACTATTTATTCATGTTTAAGTTACTGCATATCTTTTAATGTCCTTAATTCAATACGACAAATAACTTGTATGTCAGATTATAACAAACGAATTGAACTAGTTGTCTGGGATATGATAAAAATGTGTTGATAGATAATTACTAGATTTACTTGAAATTTATATGTATTATTCACATTTAAGCTATTTACTGTAAAGTTTGGTTTGAATGATCCCATAAATTCATGATCTTGCCTAAAGTACGCTTGATTTTATTACATGTGTACACAACACACCTTCGTATGTTGTGTGCGCGAAATTGTTCAGTTCAGTTATTAGTTATTTAGCCTTTTTGTATCAGTTTACTTCTTTTGTTAAGAAGGTGATTGAAGATAAAATCTTTGTTATTGTCTCATTATCAAATATATCTTGAAATAACAATTAAAACTAAACAAGTAATAACTCAGGTACGTACAACAATGTTATGGTCTTATATAACTTATCTATTTATCAGTCTGTTAGTTATATGTTTAAACCACACCTCACCAATCTAAGTTGAGACGTACAATCAATTTGGAATTAGAAAGAAATGTTTTTCGGCTCATCTTGTTCAACTTTAAATCAATACATCAAGTGTAATAACAAAAAGGAAATATAACACTAACGAAAAATAATGTCAGATGAAATCAAAAAATGGATAATATGGTGTTGATTACCTAAAAGAAGATAAATGAATGTATGTATACGACTTCGATTGATATTTACACGAATGAATCAGAAGTTTCTTTTTAGTTGCTCGAGGTGTATGAGACCCTTCTAAACAGAAGGTATACACTCCTTACACAACTCAGTCCAGGAGTCAATGATTTCATGGACTGAATACATATCTGTATCTGTCTACTCGTTTTAAACATCTCGTTTCGAGGTTTTTGGTGGTTAATAAATCTCCATAACTAATTTATAACGTTCATCTGGTACTATGGGCTGAATATTACTCATTCAGTAGTTTTCCTGTGTCTATACACTGTACATATGATCAAATCCTTGTGACTTATCCATACTTTCTATTACTTTTAAGGACCAAAACATACTGTGATTTGAACTTAGACAGCCATACGATTACACTCGGTATATAATTTATGTATGAACCATGTTTAAAACCTAGTGGATAACTTTTGTCGCTCTACTTGTTCACAGTCGCAAGTTTTAATTATGTAATAGTACGTTATCCTTCAGATGTGGATAAAGTGTATACAGCTGAAGAAATGTCAATGAAATATAGCAAATTCATATTGATCTTTATATATTTGTTTTCTTTTCAGTTCAAATTAAAATATTTTTCCTATGGTTATCAATGAAAAAATCCATTATGAGAGCTATTCAAAAAGCTATTTTATAACTCCACTATACATCCTTGCAATTTTTCATAACAGTATGTTCAAGTTCAAATAATATTGTGAACGGTTGACTTGGGTTGACGATTAATATTCAGATTTTTTAGTGTATACGACGTTCAACTGGTAAAATTGAATCTCTAGTTGTGTAGAAAACCATGACTACTTAACAGTTAACTATATTTCAATAATAAGCCAATATTTTGGCATCATTCATTTCTAACAAATCAGCACCGGAATAATGTTAGCCATAGAAAAATGAGGTAGCCATCATATTTCAGTAATACGATGGCGACTGTTTCTAAACATAGTGGGAACATCAGAATATTATAATGCACATTATTTTATCTGTTATGGTTCAACTCAAATGACTTTTGCTCCTGTTAACTGGTTTTTAACTTGTTTAATGCTCTTAGGAATTTTTCTCTATTGATCTTCTAATAGTAAACAGTAAAAGATAAGAATGAGTGATCGACATTTTTTCTTATCAAACGATTGGCTGTTAGAGTTGGATAATTGTTGTCAACCTATTTACTGTCAGTAAACTGATATCCGAAATTGTTGTGTTTGTTGAATCATTGAATTATGGTGTATGAGATTTTGTTCTACATGCTTCCTCTCAACGGTCCTAAGAAATCTGTTAGTCGAATATCCAGTGCACTACTAAGTACAGATTATAACTACAATATAATTACCAAAGTTTGTATGTCTTACAGTTTTAGAAATAATTATGACGCCACAAAATTAATTATTCACGTTTATAATCCCCCTAACCTTGTCAGTAATAAATTTTAGATTCAGATACAGCCATTGATACTATTTCAATAAAAAATGTCAGTTATTCTCTGACAAACACTATTTGCTTTATTGAAATAGATAGTGAGCTAAGTAAACATCATTCAGGAATCTTTACATTAATGCACTAACGTTTATACTGTTACTTTTCATCAGACTACTTGAGATGATATCAGCAAATAAAACGTTTTCATTATGGGGTTGTGTAGATTGTTGAGTTTCACTGAAAACATGAATCGATCAGTGTTAGACCACCATGGAAAAACTGGAAGCACTGCACAGCTGTTTCGTTCTAGAATGGGGATCCTCAGCAGTGCGCCTCAACGATCTCGCACCCACAACTGTGTCAGTTATGCGGCAGTTATCCACCGAAGACGATGGAGGATGGCCGCACAACGCCGTAGATTGATTGAAGGTAAACATTAACACCGATGGATGCCAACTCAGTGGTCTGGGGGTTAAGCGTTCGCGTGAGACCGATGGTTCTGGGCTCTAGTCCCGCATTCGGGGTCGTGGTTGCATATTGCTGAGGAGTCCCATACTAGGACTAAAAAGTCGTTCAGTGCTTCCAAGTTTCCAGTGGTGGCCTAACATTGATCGAGTTATTATTTCAATGAGGGTAAACTGTTCTTCGGTTATGAACAAAACACTTTCCTTGGTGACCAGTACACCTGGGCGATTAGTACACTTGTGTTATCATAGGGTTTGATGTATTGTGTCAGTAGTCTGTGTATCGAACAAATCGCAAGTAATTGATTGTGTTGTACATAGACATTGAAGTTCCTTTTTAAAGCTGAACTGTGACTATACCAAGTGTAAACAAACCTTTGATCTTGTCTGCTCTTGGGTTTGATTTGACCATTCTAAGGGAAATAATTTATTGCTGTTAATGTCATCCAAAAGTGATTAGAAATTATTCCAGAAAACTGCATTTCCGCAGTGAGTACAGGGTGAAAATCTAGAGGAATAATTTATTGCTTGGGGATACCATAGGTAGTTATTTGAAATAAATCTTATTCAGTCGGCTAAGTTTAGAAGGAAAAATGACATCAAAGATGTTAGATTCACAATATACCGCTTCCAATAGACCAAGTTCTCGGAAAACATCTAATCCTCTTCCCGTTATCAGACTGTCATCTGAGAACGATAAATTTGAGTGATAATAAAGGAAATTCATAACCATTGCACAAACCAGTGACTATTTGAACTCAGTGGGTAACGCAAATTTTTTGTTTAGTTACGTTAAATAACTATCCACAATAGAATAATTAAACTAGGGAATAATATTGAAATATAAATTAGAGAGTTGCACAACTTTATTATTTATTTATGAAATAAACAGTAGTATCAATAAGTGAACTATTTTGCAAGCGTTTGTAAGATTTTATAATTTCTCGTTATATTCAGAACTGTAATAAATTTGTTTCTGTTGCAACATTTGGATCCTGAATGGATAGCCTTAATAGAGAGAGCCTTTAGATGTAAGTTTCATTTTGAGGACATTCAACTAATAAATTCCAAGTATAAAGAAACACGTATCCTAGATTTCAAAACTAACCATAATTGAAATATACTATATTGAAATTATTCCAAATATATTACTCTTTATACCATAAGCTATATTACATAAATGCTATAACTTACAAATTATTCAGTATCTGAATAATGCCTAAAATAATGGATAGTTTTTTAGTCCTCATAGTTTGCTAGAAAGTCTCAATACGAATTCATGGAATGAACTCGAGATTTAAGATGTAAACTTGAAAATAAGAACTAGTTATCTCGGTAAATACATTGGTCAAATTTTATACTACATGTATAGTGCAAAAGCAAATAAATAGATTTCTAAAACTCTTCTTTTTACTATCCCTGACTTAAGATCAAATTGATAGAGATTTTGAGAAAGGAAAAGTTCTGTCTAGTCAGATTCAAAATGGCTTCTTTTTCTCGACATTTAATTTTAACGAGAGGCATCTTGATGATATACTTTTGATTAGTGACATTTTTTACCAAACAACATAACTTAATTCAGTTGCTCAACAATATTCGTCAAATTACTGCTCTTGGAAGATCAATACCTTAGATACAATGACTGATATTATTAGTACCGTAATATTTTCAGGACTGGTCAGTATCCAAACACTAACCATATATATTTACTGAGCTGTGAAAGTACATGTGGGTGAAGAACATTATATTAAACAGTAGAGAGACTGAAAGGCTAAAGAAAGTCAAACACGAAATCATCAATTCTAAAAACCTTATGTTCTTCCCTAATCTTAGTGTATTTGTATGTCTTCTTAAAGATAAAAGTCTAGATGATTTATTACTTAAATTGAAATTCATTCTTACGCTGTTATGATGTTATCAGTTATCAAATTATTGATAGTGAAATGTTACGATTTCATTGCATGTTGTACATTTTTTCATTAATATCAGATGGTTTAAATATATGCAAACCAAACAATTTCTACTTCAATAATTAGGTGATAAATGGGTAGATCCTGTCATTGGTTTTGAACATTTTTTAAATGTAGTCCGTCTTAGCCAATCGACTAATTTGCCGTAAGCCACATCAGCAAGATGCGAAATGAAGAAGTTCAAATAATCAGTGTCAGTCATAGTAATAATATGAGCATCAGCCTCATAGTTGACCAAAGGACAAAAAAAGACAATAAGTTCTATTCTAAAGCATCTAGTTAATACTGGTCATAGCATCAACACAAAGTTGACTATATGGTTCCATCGAACTTGACCCATGCTTCTAGAATTTGTCTTTTACTTATAGCTGGAGCTATAGAAATATCAGTTAATAAACATAATGTTTGTGTTCAGCCTCTTAGTTTACTAAGGACATCGATTTGACCTAATCCACACTACTGATACTTTTCTTAAGTGTGTATTATTACATAATCTACCCCGGTAAATTGATAATCAGATTTTGTTCGCACTCGTCTCATTAATTACTCACCGTTATTTTGCAAGCGACACTATACATTCATATTCAGTTGCTTAATTTCAAAGTTACTCAATTACTTTCCTTCTTCTTACATAACTAGTTTAGATAAGCAGCCGATTACATAATTCTGTTTTAGGTTTAAATATGCACCCGTTGGATCATTATCTGTAGACACTGTTAAACTGACTACATGCCATTTCCTTAGTATTTATTTAACACTTAATTATAAAACCTACATATTACTACAGAACCAAGACGGGGAACTATTTGAGAAGAGATATTTCTTCACTCAACTTGTATTTTTGGCAAAGCATATAATCTAAAAAAAAGGAAGACAAAACAGCCATTGGGATTAGTTCCCAATCATACTACCTAAGGATTTTAGTTGTAAATTACCATTATGTGGGTCTGGATCTACCGAAAAAGCTAAGTCTAACAACCGATTACCTAGTGGACTAACAGTATGTTTTTGTCAGGTGATTTCCGGAAACCGAATCTAGTAATTCTCTGGTAAAAGCAACAAAATCTATGACGATGCTCTTTTACAAAAATAAGAATGGAATATTTGAAATAATAAATAACCTTCATTCTTTCGAAGTAATATTTAATGTCAGGCTCGATTGCGTACTTATAAAAGTAAATACTCTTCGAATTCCCTTATTTTGTTGTAGGAAAATTAAAGTATTGTTGTTAAAGTTACGTATAGTCGAGTTTCTGATATAAACTTACACATTTCCAGGATTTTTCATGAAACTAATTTATTGTCTCAATAATATTATTTAGTAAAACACTAAATAAGGTGTAGAATAGATAACAATACACCACTGAAGACTTTCGGTCGCAAAAATACGGCATCCTAAGTGAAGTAACATGTCAGAGTTATCATCAATAAGTTGTGGTTTTTCATTGAAATTCGAACCTGGAACATTAAGGAAGCCCAGATTGTCCATAAAATCCTGATCCCTATAGTTTCGGGTTATTGTTAAGCTTACTTGGGAAGCTATATGAGAGTGAATTCGATAAGATTTTGTCGACTAAGCTAAGAGAATATCCATCAGTGAAGACTTATGACGCAATTTCGATTACCACTGGGCTATCCGGGCCACGTGACATTGATCACCACCCAGTGATCAATCAATTGTGAGTTAATGATAGTGCTATACAAGTCTGAAAATGTTTCATTATACCATAAAACTAATGGATTGGGAAGAGTCAGACTTTTAGCAATGCTAATTAATACATTAACTACCTGAATGATGCAGTGATACAATTCATAAAACAGTCCAATAAACAACTACAAACTATCTCCTAAATTGTAGTTCTCAGTATCAGATTGTGCTAAAATTTATATCTGACTCATTCTCCTTCTAATTCATAATCCCCAGAGTTCTTTATCCTTATCACTTTTTCAAACACTATCATTTTCTTAATGACTTACCTTTTAGCTTGTTAATTAGCTAATTCGTTTAAGGGACAAATTAGACACATTTGGATACACTAGCTTTATTGCTGTTCTATGGGATTAGGAAACCACTAGGTCAAGAACTAGTTTTCTGTTTCGTAGATTAATTGTAGATGAGGCATACACAATGAGTCATACACAATATACACCCCGGCACATGTCTACACTAGTTCAAGTTGCCACACTATATTAGCACTGAGATAAAATTATTAAGACAAACACTATAGTTGAAAGATAAGGCTTAGACAATGTGATTCGAGAAAGCATGTAATTAGAGATAAAAATAAAAGTATTAGATAAGTTTTGAGACCAAGGATCTACGGGGAAACAAAGAGTGGGTGTAACTGTTCACCACAATCGATGCTGAGGTACATCACCCAAAGTCTCCAAACATCGGTTACGACAGCGGCGATGATGTCAACCGACTAGTATAAGGCTACTTATATGGCTCCACGTAAAAGTTAACAACTTCATTGAACACTGTCATGTCTTAATTATTTTGGTCGCCTTCTTCCAATCATCAAAAAGGTACAAATACTTATAGACAATTGTCTACGCAAAATACTTATTGTCCTTTGACCAGATACCATCAGCAACAACCTACTGTGGTAAAGAACAAACAAACTCACAGATAACGGAGAAATTAGGCCAAGACGCTGGGGATGGACAGGGCGTACATCGCGGAAATCATCTGACTGCATCACGAGGCAAGCAACAACTTGAAATCCCGAAGGGAAACGGAAAAGAGGAAGACCAACAAAAACATTACGTCGGGGATTGGAAGCAAATGTCAAGAGAATAAATAGCAACCGGGGATAATTGCCCAGGACAGAGATCGATGGAGAATCCCGGTGAGAGGCCTATGCTCCTCTACGAGAGGTAACAAGAGAGTAAGCAGCTCCTACATCATGTAGCATCGCGCGTCATGGTATACGGTAGATGTGCATAGGTAATCCATATTCCGAATGCCTCAGTCGATGAAGATTTACTACCTCGCCAAGAGATTTCTCACTTTTACCTAATATCTTGCGTCTAACCTCAGAATCGCTAACCCAATGGTCTCAACATATACGAACAATGCTTCTTAGGGATTTATGACCGAATATTCGTAACCTACGAACATCTATTTTTGAAGGTTACATTTCACAGCTATAAAGTATAACACAGTAAACTGCTTTACGGTACACTTGTCCTGTGGTTGGTAGAAGGACATCTCCCCTGTCACAAGTCCATCGAGCTTTCTGAATGTCCTGTAATCTCATCAGACACCAAAACACCACAACTGTTCGGACATCCACGATACTTGTATTGGGTGAGGAACTGAAATGACGTATTCCTTGTGATTGGTGGTGAGAGCAATACTGGAGCAACATTTTGCACTTAGATGAAGAGAAACTCATCAAAAATATGACTACATTGTTGCTCAAGACGATCAGAAGACTCTACCTTCATCAAATAGAACTGTCATCTATCTCACTAACACCCGAAAATATACCTATTTCACTAATAATGATGAAACGTTGTCCACTATTACCTGACACTACCAGACTTTCTATTTCTTTTGCCTTCGCTGCCTAGTACTGGTTAGTCTATGTTTGAAGTTACCGTAGCTCGTCATTCTGTTCGGATTTTGACTACGTGAGTTCGCGATCGCTTATCAATTCAGATTTCCCTGAAACCGACTAACATTCCCTAACCTGTTGGTTTAAGTCACCGATAGGTTGTACTGCTATTTTTACACTAATTAATTGTTTGTGATAAACAAGGTTTCAGTAAATATCCGTGTCATATTATCAAGATATTTTATTGCGAAAATTATTTATACGAAGGATCACAAATATTTGATTAAGTTTTGCTAAGAATAATGCTTATCTTTGGTAGAAAAAACCACAGCTTAATATCGATAAGATAAAACCATTCTTTCTCATCTTGGTAACACGTTCTAACCCAGAGTATAAGAACACTGAGCATCAACTAAGTAGTAAAAGTTTCATTTTTACGCTGAAACATGAGGTCGAAAGAAATGGTTTTATACTGGTTTTTATTATAAATGAGCCAAAGCCACAAAACTTTAGCATTAACATAGAACAAACAATGAACAGAAAACAATGGAAATAATACTTGATCACAGTAAAATGGAAAATCTTGGGTTCACTCAAGTATGCATGAATATGAGCTAATAAATTATTCCATTTATGATATTAGTATTCGAGGTGCTGTATTTAACTGAAGAGAAATAATAGTGGGAGCTGATATTAATATTCAGACATGCCTCTGCCGTGTGATGCGAAGCCTCCACCGACTGGCCTAACCAGACGCATTTGAAGATGATTTTTGAAGTGACAAGGAGGGTTACATGAAAAACGTACAGGTGAACCTGTACCAGGGAAGCCAAGGCCTGAAGAAAATTGCGAAACCGTAGGTGTTTGACGTGGATAAACGTTGGAAGGGTGTTCTTCTAGGCTGAATTTGTACTTACGGGAACCTGAAGATAGAGGGTTATACTTTGAACAAGTTGCAATTTCTATGACATCGCAATTTTTATCTGTTGGATGAACAACTTCATGAATCTTAGGTCCCATAAAATTAGAAGAGAACGTCGAATTAATGTAAGCAAATCCAGTAGGTTGACCGTTAGAATTCAACATGCGGACTGTCTTTATCTGAAATCCATTACTTTCATTATTGAGACACTTTTCCTTGAATTCCATTATGCGGCGTAATTGGTGTTCCAAGTGTTTTGTCGCCAAGTTGGTTCGTGATAACTGAGTTCTCAGAGCCTAAAATGAAATTTGTTAAATACAAAGAAAGCAACGAAAATCATTACAAAGAAAACTGATCCACAAGAAAATGTACACTGACCGTGGTTTGAATCGTGTATGGAAATGTGGGCTTCATTGATAAAGCTTTTGAACTGAGTTATATTACCTTGACAAAAAACACAAAAGTGTAGATAAATCCATACTTCATCTTGCGCTAAATTCTGAATATCACAATATTTTAGTCTTATTATTAGTATTTTTCGTCTAAAACTTACCACTTAATTTCGAATAATTTTATTTCCCACGATAATTGCCTACCAATTTGTTTAGGATTAGTGCCGTTTGGAAGGGATACGTAAAAATGGATGAGATAATCAACATACTTGTGTTCGACTCTCAGGTATTAAGTCTTGAGTTTGAACCCTGTTTCACTTCAGGTTGGAGCACCGTATAGTATCACTAGCCCTCACATTTACAATGTGGCTCATACACAAGTAACTGGCGAATGAATTAGTTCTTTTTTTCTTTATGCACTAACTTTTCTTAGCCTCTGCCAGGGACGTCCTACTCACTGCCTTCTCGTACCACGGGTGTTGTTTACGAAATTGAGAGGACGAAAAGCGAATGTCCGGCGCTTTAACCGGATCCCAAACTAATGGTGCACATGAGCTCCGGTATCCTGCGGGAACAAATGGCGTATGAACCAATTTTGTTCACTGGCTACCATGGGACTGTTTATCCTTACGATGCTCCACTGTCTTGTGGGTCAGACCTTTAGGTCAAAGGCTCGGGGAGTGGCCCCCTAAGAAAACCACCTGCTTCGGTTTGGGAACCCGGACAGTATCACAGCCCTCCCACATATCGAATAAGATTTGTGTGGCGTATATGTATTTGGTGTCTCCTTGTACCAATATCTATGTTAAAAAAACAAACTTTTCGTAGAACGAGGAAACATTTTAGCCTACCTTTCTTAACTACACCATATAAAATATATTTAAAAAAGTAAACCAGAGTTATTTTTACATAGAATAAGACTTTCCATATTGTATTACACTTAGAAAAACTACTGTCTATCTAACTTAACGACATTTTTGAAAAACATTTAGATGGGGTACATGGCCTTATCATTTAGTACAGAAATTATTGTCTTATGTTGCTCACTGTTATCAAAGTGCACATTTATCAACAGACAACAAAAACATTCAAATATGCGTAGTCGTGCGTGATTCTCCAATAAATAAAAACAAAATAAAATGATTTGTATGACTCGGATCCATAGCAAATAACCAATAACAGATTGTTACTTAATAAATAAGTCAGTAAATGTAAAGCCATCAAAGAAAGTGTACAAGATGAATAAAATGCCAGCTCAGTGCCCAATGAGTTCAAATGACATATAAGAAACAGGAAGCCTTCAACTCAAGAGCCATAAATCACTAAAAGAATCAATATTATGAGTAGATAACCGTCAAAATTATGTCTCTTTATTACTAGACTTGGATTCAGCCTGATAAATACACGATACAAATAACACTAATTTGGATGCTGTAGACCAAGCACGCGTATCTGTTTGATACTTGTGCCTAAATGTCACCTGCGTTATGATACTTACGAAACTATCGGGATGTCAAGACATGGAGCCTATTTTGGAAGTTGGTCTATAAATTGTGCGAAAAGACATAGATTACAAATAGCCTACCTGGATTTCAACGACCTCTTCCTTCACCTGGGTGGCTAAGTTTTCCACTTCGGACTGCTTTTTGCTAGCACATTTGCGTGCGTATTTTCGATTTTGCAAACGACGTCTCCGACTACGAAGTTCTTTGTGTTCCTCAATTGTTAAACGTTTTTTTTCTAGCAGCAATCGAAGATCAGCTGTTGTCATGTCCACTAGTTCATCATCCGTTAAATTTAAACTCATAGTAGTTCTTGAACAATGGAAATAATCAGTAGTCAAGAAATAATGCATTAAGTGTAAACTGTATAGAATTATATATTTTTTAAGGCAGTGAGGACAAGTAAAATTCGATCCTACACCACTTTTCGTTCAGAACTCACTGTATCAATTGGAGAAGTGACTCTTCATGCCAAGACTAAACTGAAGTCAGATTAGTTGATCCATCAGAATCTAGGATGTGGCAGATTCTAAATCTTGAGGTACTTTCTGTCAGTAAATTCTGTTTAGCCCAATCTCATATTTCGTTATCCTCTCATGAGTGAGAGAACAAATCAAATTAAATGTGAGGTTTAATAGTTATAAGCGATGGTCACTAGTTAAATCACGTCGAATATCTAAGGGGGGTCTAGAGACCTATGTTTATTGAAAAATAATATACAAGTCCTCAAAAACTTAAGATTATTTATTTATTTGAACACATAAATATTGGTACAAGAGAGCGCCAATATATATGCGCCACACAAAACAATGAGAATTCGAAGAGAAAAGAAAAAAGGTAAGGAGCGTAAAAAAAAGAGAACAATAATGAAGAGATTGGTGTAAGGTAGTGTGGTAGTAATGAGGGAACGGAAAGGTACAATCGGAGGAAATCTTTCAGTTAAGGGAGACACAACCACTTTTTATGAAGAAAGCAAAAGAATTTTGCAGCAGGACCGCCACTGGCTTCTATTCTGAGCCATATCTGATAACGTCTCTAGCCATTGTGTTGCACCATCTCTCTGACCCCAACCAGGGAGTCGTGAAGGACCGACACAAGCCAGTCCTTCGCAGCCTTCTTTCATGCCACGACACCATGTCATGCACTGACCACCTCTCCACTTCTTCCAACCAGTCCCAGAGTCGGCAAATAATGCACGACGTGGAATTCTCTGGGACGACATTCGGAGAACATGTCCAAGCCACCGAAGTCGGTGTTTCAACATGGTGACACCAATTGAATTATCATCTCTGTGCCCGAACACACGATGCCGAACCTCTGCATTACTGACATGGTGTTGCCACTGAATGTCAGAAATCCTTCGAGACAGCGATGATCGAACACAGAGTCGTCTAACGCCCTCAACACGGAGAGGCCAGGTTTCACAAGCATAGAGCAAGACTGCTGTCACCGACGCGTTGTAGATCCGACCTTTTACAGCCAGACTAACATCACTAAGGCACCAAAGGTGGCCCAGACTGGCATAAGCCGCTCTGGCTTTCACTATACGTGCATTGATCTCATCACTCACACCACCACCAGCACTTATGCAGCTACCTAGATGCACGAACTACTCGACTACCTCTATCTACTCACCATCCAGGGTGAGTACATGATTGGAATCCCGCCAGTCTTGTAGAAGTACTTTAGACACAATTGTTCATAATGAAATCACACCTGGTAACTCGAAAACAAAGAGATTAAATTACGACAGAATACTGTATACACTTCAGTTACAATGCAGGAGGGAACTACAAGAATACTCACCAGATAACACGTTAACTTAGGCGAAGACGTGAAAATTAGTTCTCGTATAAACTCACAGAACTTGAAACGGTGGGTCATTATGAAAGGTGGTTAGTTGTTGACCATACAACCACAGATCAACACATTAAGCCCCGATAAACATCATGACTAGCCCAGAATAGACTGATTTAAAATTCCAGCTTTCAAATGAAAAATAAATCTCTAATTAAACCCGTAAATAAATCAGCTTCACAACCTTCATCTCGACAATACGGTTTTCAGTATTCTAACACAGTGCATATATTTATTTCCTTTGTATTTATAACCATAAACGATTTAATTTCTTCCGTGACAACTTTGCTGATAGCAATAATATCAAGTAAAGATATCAACTAATACTGGTTCGGATCTATTTTGCCCGAATAGTGCCCGGAAACATCCTACTGACAACAAAACCTGTACTTTCAAGGCTAAACATTTTTTAAGCTAACTCCCCCATACTATTTCTAACTTCGTTATAAATACTTACGGTATAAACAAACTAACCTTACTACACGAAAATGACGAACGGATAACCTTGTCTTTTCAGAACACCCGCTCACATCTAATGCCTATGTGCCTAGATAATGTAAATCAAAATGGTATTTTCCTGACTCTAGTTTCTAGATCTTAAGATACTGTTCCATATTAGTGAAATCTTGCGAATGTTAGCAGTCTGACCACATGCTTTAGCTAATCTCGGTGGATTTCTGTAATGCTGCTGCTAGACATCTGAAAACTTTAACACGAACTTGCAAAAATAGATTGATATTTTTAAGTTCAGTACGGTCCCGGATATTTGAAACTTTTCACTTAGTACTGTCTAGTGTGGCATTTGTATCAACTAATGATTATTTTGTTCATGACTGCTCGTTTATTTTGAATTCTAAATATCGTATTTTCATTGGTGCTCATCTGATTCTAATTGTTGTGAATTGTACTATTCCGGAAACTCCCAGCCAGCAAAATAATTCGAGTAATTCTAGTTGCCATATCTATTCACTCGAATGCACTCATTCTAGTCAATGCGGTTGTGACGGCAAATAAATCCCAAAAATAAATAGCTCTGTAAGTTTTCGACATTGGATACTGACCACATTAGTTTTAATGGACTCACCTAGTTTAAGGCGCTCGGCCATGCTTCCGCACTAGATCACGAGTGGGACCACATGATAGACTTAGGTATCATAAGACCGTCAAACAGCCCATGGGCATCTCCGTTGCACATTGTCCCTAGAAAGGACAACAACGATTGGCGTCCAACTAGCGACTATCGGCAATCGAGTGCAAAATCCATTCCCAACCGTTACCCATTGCCTGACATTCACGGTTTGACAGCTATCTCGAAAGATGCAACTGTCATTTCGATAATCGACTTGGTTAAAGCGTATAACCAAATCCCTATGGCTACTGACGATATTCCGAAAACCGCTATCATAGCTCCCTTCAGACACCACGAATCTTTGCGAATGCCTTTTGCTCTAAGAAACGCTGCCCAAACATTCCAAAGGTTCACAGACGACATTTTTCGAGGTCTCAACTTCGTACATGCGTATGTTGACGACTATCTAATAGTATGTCTGGACAGCGAATCGCATCTCGAGCATCTGAATCTTGTTTTCGGCCGACTACAAAAAATGGCATCACTGTGAACATTCAGAAGTGCCAAATCGAAACTGACTCATTAGACTTCTTATGACACACTATAGATGCGCAAGGCATCCAAGCACTTAGAACCAACACACTTCTGGAGCAAACAATGTAGTCACAAACGCCTTTTCTCGCGTAACTTCCTTGAATCGACCTTCTTAAACTTGCCCAGCTTCAAAAACAAGACACTGATCTTCAGCACGAGTTATCATCAGCAACCCTTAAACTGCGCATATAACAGATAGAGACAGGTGGGTAAACCATACTATGTGACACATCAACAGGTAGGGCTCGCCCAATCGTGCCGAAACGTCATCGACGCAACGTCTTCAATACGTTGCACAAACTTTCTCATCCAGGTGTTCGTGCAACCGTCAAACTTGTAGAAGAACGGTTTCGCCGGCCTGGCATGAATAAAGACGTGGGGGAGTGGGCACGCTCTTGTGTAAGCTGCCGGAAATCTATTGTGAGTAGACACAACAAATGTCCATTAGGCTCATATAGAACTCCCGTTGCTCGTTTCGACCATGTTCATCTGGATTTGGTAGGACCTTCACCAGATTCAAATGGATACTCTTATCTATTAACCTGCGTAGACCGTTTCACTCAATGGCCAGAAGCAGCACCTATCAAGGACATCACTGCTGAAACAGTGGCTCGCGTCTTCATCGAACGGTGGTTAGCAAACTTCGGCTGCCCTTCAGCCGTCACTACAGGTCGTGGACGCCAGTTCGAATCTGAACTTTCCCGTTGTCTGATCGCACTATTAGGAGTCACTCGCTCCCGAACGACTGCCTACCACCTACAAGTAAACGGGTTGGTAGAACGTTTTCACCGACAACTAAAAGCTTCACCATCAGTTGCAAACACTTATCAGTGGACCGACGCTCTTCCACTCGTCTTACTAGGTATTCGCATGTAGTGGCATTGGACAATAACCACACAATCTTCAAAGCTGAAAACGAGACTACTCGGAAAATAGATATTCGATATTTAACGCGGAGAAATACCTAACGATGGAGAAGGCGCGAACAATGAATTGAACGAATTGGAATTGATCGAATGGCATGGCTCGGCCATGCAGGCGTGGTCCATCTGAATGTTACCTTATATCTTCTATTCATATTAAATATATTGTTCTTTCTCTAGTCTAACCTTGTTCTACATCATGTATTGGTAATTGATACGATACAGTGAGTTGGTGTAGTCGATGGTGTGACTTCCACGTAAGATCTTATAGATTAGGCAGTTATATCATGACAAATCTACAATTTTAGGATTAGGTCTATTATTAGAGCAGTACTAATATCATATTAGACCATAATTCGACACGCATTCCTGTGAAAGCTGACATTGGATACACTGCAGCTCCACTCGTCTATGGAACGACACCTCGACTTCCAGAAGGACTCTTGGATCCTTCATCTTCTTAAATGAACGTGGATCTAGCCTCCTACACGAACAGGCTTACAAACGCAATGCGTTCAGTTAAACCTGCTTCCACTCGACCTCAATCAACTGATGTGTTCGTTCAACCTGACTTACGATATAGTAGACACGTCTTCGTACGTCGAGACTCACATCGACAACCTCTCGAATCAGCATACTAAGGACCGCTCAAAGTTGTTCAACGCGAACCCAAGTACTATACAGCCGATAAGAACGGAACCAACGATAGCATCAGTATCGATCGCCTCAAAGCAGCGTATTTATTAGGAAATCCTATTCACGTCGATTTTCCTTCGGTACAATCACACGACGCGAATTCTACACTTATAATACCCTAACCGGCAGCCAAAACGAACGGTGATACTTTGGCAATATCAGAAACTAAACTTAAAACAACGCGTTCTGGAAGAAAAGTAAGATTTCCAGAACA